GACAGTTTGACAGAAAATGGAAAGATTTGGCAAATGAACTGTCTAGTTAATATGTCTATATTTTTTATCTATTTTTTATCTATTTTATTTTTTTACACAACCAATTTGTAAGGATTTAGGTTCACACTTAGTTAATAAATATGCCAAATATTTGTCCGTTTTCACCTTTTTGTAAACTTTGATGGACACCTGTAGCGAACTTAAACTTGCTGACCTGCTGTCTGCTGTATAGGTAACCTATACCTAACAAGTATCCTACAAGACGTGCTACTCCATGTATAACTCTGTAATGTCATATACTGAATTGAATAAAAAAAATTAAAAAATTAAATTAAAAATTTGACATTTGCCCTTTCCTTTTATACCCTCTCCTAAAACGTAACGCACAGGTGAATTTTCTTTTGGAAACATCTGAAAGCTGGAGATACATGTGTACTTTCCACTATTTATACGTGATCGGTTGAATTAATGGAGATGATTATCAATGAAACTTGACTATGAGTACCATACTTATTGCGGCTTTAAATCATAGACATGTAACTTGATGACATCAGTTATTCAGCCAGTGAACTCAAGGTAAAATGATGCATTGGAATCTGTGTGGTTCCCACTCTTACGCTTTAACCTTACTGCTTCCATATCTGGTTCAACACACACTCAGTGATTTTGTTTTGAATTCAGGAGGATTTGTACTGAACCTGTTGGCCGAGTTTGCATTGTGATTTTCGTACTAACAAGTTCCAAAAGCAATTGTTTGAATTTATATTTTTGCTTTTATTCATCAGCTTTGCATGTTTTTAGATCGTTCATTTTTTAGTAAAAAAGAAGATGGAATTTTCTCAGATGTCTGATTGTTGAAAACACTATGGAGGTAATATAAATGATGAATAGAAACATTTTAAAATACAATTATTTTAATTTGCGTGAAAGTTATGGTTATTTGTTACTTGCATACGTGTTCTTTAGAATACATTATTTGAATTTTGATAGTGAAAAATAGGTATGATCATAACTTTGGGGATCCCCATCCCTGACCACCAAATATCATGTTTATGACAAGAGACAAAGACCACCAAATATCATGTTTATGACAAGAGACAAATGGGAACTTTCTTAAATTTTAACAACTGCTTTGTTGTTTACCAAATCAGGACAAACTGGCTAGGTGTCTGGATCTCAAACAAGGCAATGATATCTAGTATAATTTCATGGCATAGTGATTTTCCATATCCAGTAGATCTGTGAAGATCCGGGGTAAAATAGGTCTTCAGCAACCCACGCTTGCCGTGAAAAGGAGACTAAGCTAGTTGTAAGAGGCGACTAACGGGATCGGGTGGTCAGGCTCGCTGACTTGGTTGATGTATGTCATCGAACCCAATTAAGTGGATCGATGCTCATAATATATAATCACTAGATTGTCTGGTCAAGACTCGATTATTTACAGACCGCCGTCATATAGCTGTAATATTGCAGAATGCGGCGTAAAACAACAAAACAACCAACCATGTCCAGTAGAAAACCTGCCATTCGTGTACATCGTAATAAAGTTTTCTACAGCCTCACGATGAAGTCTTCAATTGACACATCACTACTACTGTTATAAGTATATGGCTACTGCATCATCCTGTGAAGAAGAGATTACACATGAATATGTATACCACTGTATCAAAATAATTAAACATCATGAACATATTCTTCATTATTATGCCATTTAGACCCGACATTTTTACAAGTACAACCAGAGTTCAAAAACACTAGATTGAAAGTAATCAATTACTTTTCCAAAATCATTCGATCAAAATGTTTAATTTCATTATGTGATAAGAAAACAAATGCCGAATAAATGACTTTTCATGTGAATAAAATCCAGAGGCCAAATGACAGACCCTACCATCAAACACCATTATTACTTATCAAAAGTGTTTATTTTTTCTAGTTATTGTACTGATCGTTCATTGTTTCCACTAAACTAACCGTTTTACAATGGGAGAAAACGGGGCATAATCGGCGCCATCAAATTCGCTAAAATAAAGATGCTAACGTGATTTCATAAATGTGGTCGTTTAATTCCATGTATTATGTATACGATTCCGTGACAACAGTGAGCTGACACGAAATATTAAGGCACATATCACTGTTGAAAATGATGTGTGTCATTGTTTACATTTCACCGATATGACGACTACTTCCGAGTCTCGAAGCAGCCTAAATAATGCCTCCCTTCACTAAAAGTATCAATAAGGACGTTATGCTCGTTGGGTATACATTGCAGCAGTGTAAATACTGAGAAAAGATTTAACCACCCTTTCTAGCGTGTTTCAAAAGTAAATACATGTCGTGTCAGCCATGGTTGGTTGTTTAGTGGAGGTCGCAGTCATTGTCTGGGTCAGCATACCCACGGAACCAGGCTGCCATCAAGATCGCCCGAACTTCTTCTGAACTGAACTTCTGTGGGATAAACACGATAGCCGTTTCCGACAACGTCATTCGCAGCCGTAAACTCTTCTGCAACTTTGCCATGCATTGAAGGCGAATGTCACAAGTGCCACAGGATCGAATTAAGCGACTCTCATATATATAATAAACCTTATGACCTATAATAACCTTTAAAGGTTTATGTTTGGTCAAGGCTAATTATAATACCTAGAATTAGCAAGGGACCGCCCGCCTTAAAACAACCAAGAGAAGCATCTATTAGTAGCCAGTCTTATATTCCGTGTATCTCATCAGTCATTTACATATCACCATAAAACATAAACAAAGTACAACCTAAGACAATTAAAGTATTCCGAAAATTATGAATTAACAGTTCCAGTATAAATCTTACAACAAATGCATTTAACAATGAAACGAAGACACTTTACATTTGGTTGAAAAATATAATACACGTAATAGAGCGCAATTAAGGACAATTAATGTATTTTAGATAAATAGGATAACTCTTCGGTAAGACACGTACTACATAAGTTACCAATAACTAAAATAGTCTTACATGATCTTTGCTATTTATGAAGAACGTAATGATAAGCGTTACTTTAATATACCTAGCAGAAGATAACCTAAACGAATAATATGAATACACATACATTAATAAATATCTTACCTCTTACTAAAATAGTCTTAATGATCTTTTAATGTTTATGAAGAACGTAATGATAAGCTTTACTTCAATACAACCTTATAGAATACAACTTTAACCGAATAATAAGAATACACAAATATTAATAAATATCTCACCCATTACTAAAATATTCTTGCATGATCTTTTAATGTTTATGCGAAACGTAAAGATGAGCTTGACTTCAATACAACCTTACAGAATACAACTTAAACCGAATAATAAGAATACACAAATATCAATAAGATTTCAATCTGCTAATTAAAAAATATGGCCACATGTTTTATATCTACCGTTAATAACCAAAGTCATATGCCCGACGACATGTCATTGTATGTGTACAATGTAGACATAAATAGAGCCTAATAAGACTGAAAATATAGCAATACATGAGCAACTGAATTAAACAACACGTGTTATGTGCTTATGGGTTTTGCGTGTACAGTATAGTTGCCGCGCTTAATAAGTACATTGTTTAAACATTAATTTCATCAAGGGTAGTTTGAATCATTTGAATGGAACACACACAGTAATCATTTAAAGATACATTCATTTACATACACTTCAATTGCAAACATTCAATAAAATATACAATTGACAACAGATGCACAGGAATATTACTTTGCTTCCACGAGCCCGATTATGTGTAATTTTAATTTGCTGAACCAATGTCTTAAAACGTTATCATATAATATTTTATACTATTTTAAGATACACTATATTGTTAGATTGTTTCTCGTGCTACGTGATCTAACCTAACTATAATACTAACTTTATTGGTTACCCTAAAATCATTATTGCCTAATTTAATATGTTGATTATATTCAAAGCAACTAAGAATATAGAATGCAATAGAAAACAGGAAAAATAGGAATATAGTTTAAGAACATACAATATATATGAAGTGAACATATCTTACCTTAAAACAACCAAGAGAAGCATCTATTAGTGGCCAGTCTTTATTCCGGGTGTCTCATCAGTGAGGTACCCGGAATAAAGGCCGTTATTAATACCACCGATGCTCTTAGGTCATGATTCGGTCGCATTTTCAATTATCACTTACTTAAACAATACCTACACAATTTTGCTAATCTAACGTGCTGACTATCTGAATTTAGAGATTACCTCGCAGTTTTGAAGGACATGAGTATGCAGAAATGACTAAAATTACATAAGTTTTCTTGGAGAGCGCGTTATCATAGAGTAATGTTTACTTCTCTCGCTGGACATGTAGTCTTAACGATTAGCTCATAACGCTCATAGACTAAATCTTGGGAATGAAGGCAGGCGTATATCAACACCGACTGATAATAACTTTGGACGGAACATAATGCCTATCCACTACACGCATGTAGTCTTAACGCTTAATACATAATGCTTATCAACAAAACCTTGTGAATGAAGGCCGGCGTATATCAACACCGCCTGATAATATACTTTTAGTACACAAATTATTAAGTAATTAAAATATGTTGTTTAGTCTTATTTAAGTCAAAATTATTTACAAAAAATAGAAGAAAATATGATGTATTTTGGAACTATGACATATATATATATTTCAGCATTGCAGGCGGCTTTTTTTTTATAAAAAATACCTCCCTCTTTCCATACATGAGAGGGAGCTCATGAATTTTCAATATAAAAAGGAGAAGAATAAAGTTGTTTTCACCAAACCTCATACTGTATCGCAAACCTGTTTTCAAGTAGAGTGTAGCAATATCGCACTATTTACACGTCAAATGGCTACGCCAACCTGTAAATAAGATGAACAATACGCCCACCTGTACATTAGATGAACAAAGGGCCCCGAGTTACCCGGATGACATTAGGACTGATATATAAGATGGGCGTCCGAGAGAGTCGGATCTCCGTGCGCGAAATACGCTACAGTCGGAAAGCGCACGTTAAATCTCCTATATCAGTCAGTCGAGTCAGATCAGTCATCTGATGATGTATTGTGTGTTGAGGATGAGAGCGACCGGCGTTCTACTTCTGGCGTTAGTAGCTATTCAAAGCTACACGCCTGTGGATGCCCATCGATATGGCCATCGATACTTCAATAGGTATTTCAGGCCTCATCGACGCTGTGTACTTCAAACAGGTAAGAAAAAGGAGGAGTACATGTAGGTTATATCACCAGCCCTTTACTTTCTATATTCTAATCATCCATGTATTTTGTGAAAATATATACGTATGACTTCGACCGCTACCGTAGTTCACCGGAAAGAGACGTTAAAATATGGCACTTGTTGGCGCTTGGCATGACGGGGATTAAAAGTCTGTATATTATCGTGGAGTAGGGTAAACATTATCAACTGGGGTTTGGAATCACAGGAGACTTCACTACAAAACCGGCATTGGTAAATTGTTATAACGTGGTAAGTTGCTATTAACTGCTGTAAAATGTAATATCAATGCGGTAAAATGTAATAACTTCACTGTGGTAAATTGTAATGAAATATTATTCATTTGCAAATATACAAAGAAACCTGCATGAAGTTCAAAATGTTCGACTAAGATGTTTGGAAATCCAAATCCGGACTTTGAAACGACTGAATTGATAAAGACTACTGTACATTCTTGATATTTGCATTTACTCAAAACAGAGTTTTAGTGTTTGTTCGACCTTAGCATGATCAATTCCAACCTCCAGCATGTTTAAGGAAATAATGATAGAAATTGAAACAAAATCGCTTTTTTTATTTCCTTAAACATGCTGGAGGTTGGAATTGATCTTGTTAAGGTCGAACAAACACTGAAACTCGAATTATGTTATAAATCGGAAGGATTAAGAGATGTTATTACAATTTAACGCACTTGGTATTGCAATTTGCCGCAGTTTGCTACAATTTGCCGCACCCGCCTCTCAACAGAAATGACAGAAATTGAAACAAAATTGCTTTTTCTGAATTTCTTAAACATGTTTGAGGTTGAAATTGATCATGTTAAGGTCGAACAAACATTGGAACTCGAATTCAGTTTGAAATCGGAAGGATTAAAAGATGTTATAACAATTTGAAAAACATCTTGAACCAGATGTTACACCCCATTCCAGTTCATATGACATTGTTCTCATTTTGAGATGTGGCTGAGGTTCCACCCACACCATCTGGAACGTTAATACATGAACATATATCATTATTCAGTTTATTCAGTGTTCAAAGCCTTCAGTCAGCTACACAAAATTTCCTGGATAAATCTAAAGCAGTGCCCCATCGTGGAATATCTAGATAATTTCATACCTTATTAGAGCGACGGATTGTTGATACAAATAGACCAACACATTAAGAGTTGTGCTGTCAGTGATAAGAACTTTATATCCTTGAGTGGGTAAACAGAGCGTCCATCTAAACAGTTTTTCATTTCATATTCTTTACTTTCCTAAGGGCTTGATGTCAATTGTGGTGGGGAAAGTCAAGTGATCTTTGTATATACATACTTAAAAACAGGTATCACTGATCTCTTGACTTAACCATGCAAAACCAAATCCATATTGGAAGAGAAAGGTCCTGATGTTGGTTGCTCATGCTGTTTTTCCGTAATCACCCAGAGACTTGAGCATAACAAATGCATGTTGTGGTAATGGGTGATTCTCGATATGAATGATCCTGTAGCTGACTGATCGTGACAAGCAATGGTGTTGTAGAGAGTTTCTGTCGCACTCACCAAGTACCCTGTTGTTATTTGTATTGATGCTGAGACTGAAATGTCTTTTACAGAACCTAATCGGGGCCTGTTCAATGACTCTTCAGTATGTAGTTCCCCAGATTTCAGATCCATAATATAACATAGGGCATAACATGGAGTCAAATTTTGTAAACATTTCGCCACATGTAATATGTTTAAAGTTCTGTTTAAATCGGTCGATTTATGCTTTGTGGCTTGTGCTGCTTAACATATTTGGGATTTGGACCATGAGCGCATGGAGGTGAAAAAGTACCAATATATTTGTAATTAATCAGTTTCTATCTGTAGTCCTTTGAGATACCATTTCTCATGTCTGAGCGTTCCAACATTTATGAATACAACAATCTTTGTCTTGGTAAGATTTATATTTATTCATGTAGCATTTCATAACATTTCAAATAATATTAATTTTCTTCTTGACACGGTTTGTAGAGTCTGCTACTGCTGAGATGTCATCAGCAACCATAAGGAATATCTGTGGACATAATTATACCCCGACAGCCATTTTCTTCCAAACATTGCAGTATGATTACTACAGGTCAAGGCTTAAGAAAAGTCAATGAAGAGACAGTAAAGTCTTCCCCTATTCTTGACTAAATATATGTCATTAATAGATCAATGTTTGAATGAAAACCAGTTTGCGATGTCGATATAACATTATTTGTGTCACAACACTTGTTAAGGTTTTTGTTTTTCGCATCTTTTAGCACCTATACACAATCAATCAATAATAGATATCCCGATATAAGTGTTTGGGTCATGCATACTTCCAGACATGTGAAGCGGACATATAATAGTCCTTGACTTGACATCTGGGAGCGAGTTGCTGGGCACAATTTTATTAAAGTTTCGAAGGTTACTATGGTTATGGTTATCTTGTCGACTTTAAAATCCCATGAAGATCCGGGGTAGAATAGGTCTTCAACAACCAATGCTTGTCTTAAAAGACGACTATGCTGGTTGGAAGAGGCGACTAACGGGATCGGATGGTCAGGCTGATGCATGTCAATTACGTGGATCGATGCTCATGATGTCAATCAGTGGATTGTCTGGTCCACACTCGCTTATTTACAGATCGCCATCCTAGAGCTGGAAAACTGCTGAGAGCTACGTTGAACAAACAAACAAACAAACTTGACTTTCAACATTCATTTTCCATTCCATCTGGACTAGATGACTTATTTTACGTTTAGGTTCTTTAAGCTGTTGTTGGAAAGGGTTTGGGAAAGCCGGTGGCCCAGTCGTCTATGGCGCCGCAATTCGCTGTGCACAGTTGCGACCCTTGGGCACGTCAGAAACCTATGGTTGAGTGTGCGAATCACGGGTCGTCCCCAATATGTTTCTATGTTTGTCAGCACCATACCCGTGCTCGTGGGTTTCACCAAAGAGGTTAACGTCTGAGACCTGCATCACTTCTTTCCTCCCACGTGGAGCTGACACGACGTGATATAACTGCAATACTGTTGAGAGCGGCGTTAAACTCAACATGACGTAAGGAAGAGCAGATGTTTAATAGCTTAAGTATCTGGGTGGCAATGCAAATTCCCGTCATGCTTATTTCATTTGATTGAATTAATAATAAACAAGATTTGCATTACGTACATTTGTTTCATCCAGATTTTTCATTCTAGATATTTCCATATGAGAATAGAAAATATATGGCATATTATAGTTTTACAGGTCACAAGGTCACATAAAGAGTGAGTGAGTGAGTGATTGAGTGAGTGAAGGTTGTGTGACTCTGGCAAGCTTTATTTCAGTTTTATCATGGCGAATCTGGATGAGCTAAGCTGATGGTGGAGATCATCAGTAATGCTCCGCGTTACAAATATCATAACAGGATGATAATATACACAGTAAAAAAAGTGTTGCACCCCCACATTAATACGTTTGATACATCACAACATTTAAAACGCCCGACTCTGGTTTTAATGGTAGGTATTCCTTGGGGATCTGATGTTAAATGTGTAATGTTTTCGGAGAGAAGATGATCACCAAAACGTAGCAATCAGCACGTGAATTGCATGGTGCATGACATTTGCAGATTGCAGTATCTTCTTAAGCTCAACATCGCCTATAAAAGATGTTCTGTGACAGCCCAGTTTATTGTAACCCACAATGCCGGGTAGACGATTGTCAGAAGCAGTCAAGTGGCAGATTATTGGCCTTCATGGAGCAGGTCTCTCGTTCAAGGAGATTGGCAGAAGAACCGGACATCACTACTCAACAATAAGCCGTTTGGTCAGAAAACACGCACAAACTAATGATGTAAGGAATCGCAGACCCTCTGGCAGACCACGTAAGACCACAGTTAGAGATGACAGAGCGTTGTTGAGGGTGGTAAGGCGTCATCCATTTGCTACAAGCACAACCTTGAAACGTCTTTGGCTTCCTCGTCAACAGTTCAGTACCCAGACCGTGAGAAATCGTCTTAAAGCTGCAGGGTTGAAGTCCAGAAGGGTTATCAAGCGACCTAAACTCACAGACAACCACAAACGACTACGTCTAGCCTGGTGTAGACTGAGACAGAACTGGAACTTGAGGTCCTGGAGAAGAGTCCACTGGTCGGACGAAAGCAGGTTCCTTCTGCATGTTGTGGATGGCAGAGTGAGAGTATGGAGGCGTCCTGGAACAGCTTATACTGCAAGAAGCATCATGCCAACTGTACCATATGGAGGTGGATCTGTTATGGTCTGGGGATGCTTCTCATTTGATTGTAAGCTTGATTTAGTGACCATACGAGGCAACTTGACAGGGGAGCGCTACATCCAAGAGGTGCTGAATCCAGTTGTGGTGCCCCATTTTGACAATCATCCACTGGCCACCAGACCGATATTCATGGATGACAATGCCAGACCACATCGTTCACGAGCTGTGACCCAGGTTATCCACAACAATGCTCTGACGCAGATTCCATGGCCAGCAATGAGTCCAGATCTGAATCCTCTGGAACATGTATGGGACATTTTGGGACGCCTGATTTATCGTCGGGACCCTCCTCCACAGAACTTGCGTGAATTGGAAGCAGCATTACACGAGGAGTGGCAGCAGCTGCCCATGGAGCGATTCCAACGTCTGGTGAGGAGTATGAGACGAAGACTTCAAGCTGTGATCCAAGTGCTTGGTGGAAGTTCTCGATATTGACTTACTGTGTTCGTCAAATCTCCATATGACATTCTTACCCTATTGGATGAATTTGGTCACTAAAAATTATTGAGATGTCACCATACTTAATGCGTCTTCGTTGTTCGTTCATTTTTCGTAAAAGTTCAGCATGAGATTATTACATGCCATAAGGTCATGGAATACCCCATTTAAGTTCATTGTATAGACAATACACTGGTTTGTTGGTATACACGAAATCCTGGTTATAATATTAATTCGGTTATCTTTACACCCTTTCAAAACACCCCTCCATGAAAAAGTATAGGGGGTGCAACACTTTTTTTACTGTGTATATAATACCCTAGATTACCGAGGACGGGTTACGAAGGCTGCGCTGAACTTTCAAGGTAGAACAGATATTCAGGTGGCTTGTTTGTTTGTATATTTCAGTGAACGCTGTGTGCAGAGTGGCCGCAGACCCCGGAATCACAGACCCAGTGAGCGGGACGATACGCCTGTCACAAACACTTAACGTGAGGCAACAACAAATTTCGTCACAATATTTGCTCAAATAGGGCAATATTAGACCCTCAGTGACACCATTTTCGTATGTATTGCTTAAAAGACGGGATGGTTTTTTTGTTTGTTTTTTAAAAATCACCTGTTGGAATAACCTACGATTACATATAATATATTTCATATATTTGCCTTTGTTATTATCATTATCATTATATGCAGCAAAGAGGGTTTGGGTGATCCTGGCACAGTCAGGCTGGTTAGGCTCATCATCAGCCCAGGGCCCTTGCCCCTTCTACACGCAGTTCAGACAGCAAATGGGACTTTTCCCAGGAAGCGCTGCCTTGTCAAACCCGCCCAGAACCTTTCGGAGAATATGAAGAAATCCCAACACTGCAGCCTTCGGTATTACCCAGATTGTCAGATGGGCTGTATTCCTGGTAACAAACCCGGTTACTCTCCCAATGTCAGTCAACAGATTGGGAGGTACCAAACCTAAGGCACCGAGAAGAATGGAGAGCCGGACAACTTGGTACTTGGGATGCAAGCGTGAGGACCGTATATTTGTATATATGTTTTTCCCGAATCTTGTCAATCACATTAGTGTTATAACGGACAGAAAATTCAATGTTATAAATGTTATAAATGATTTCATTGGATTTATCAAAAAGGACAAGATCAGGTTTGTTGGCCTGGATACGTCTCAGGCTGTAAACGGGCCAGTTCTAAAGAATTGTTTGTCATTTTCCATGACGCCCTCTACATATTCTGGGTCGTACCATGGATGGACCTCACACTCATTGGCCAAGATCGCAAGCATGGCGAATACGGTAATAAAATGATCGAGCTACGCCATCATGACACTTAAGATAGTGTGTTTGTGCCACATGTGTGCAAAAGTGCACAATGCAATTCTATCATGAAGAGCTTCCACGTTAATCCAACCACGCCCTCCCTTTATGATTGATAAAAATAAGCGAGGGAAGTGCGAGAGTGGTGGGATCTATTCTCGGACATGATTCTTCGTGCGAGGCTGACAATACCGTGAATTTCTTGTTTCGTCCAATCAACAACACCAAAGGAATACGAAAGGACGGGTACAGCATAAGTATTTGTGGCTCTGACATCATTGCGAGCGTTCAGCTCTGAACACCAGATTTCTACATTTGTACTCTGCCCGAGGTTTGTCCTTGATATGGGCATTCTGGAGTTTGCCCCTAACCTGCATTGCTGAATAAGTAATTGATCCTTACAAACCCAACTTCCCTTTCTGGCTCCTTTCTCCTCCATGTAAATAATGTCATTGGAAGCTCTGTTTGATGACACAAGCTCTGTGACACAACCACCTTGTGAATATTTTGTACTGTGCATTCAGACAAGTAAGAGGGCGGATTTTTTTAGGGTCAGTCAAATTACTTTCTTTGGGAGAAGTATTGTTTGACCTTTGCAGAACTAAGGCGGAACATCCCCTGTATCCACAAGATAATTTATACAGTGAAGTAATTATGTTTATTATGTGTAGTAAGTATTAACACCTTAACACCTCTAAACACAATTCGAAACACGTTTGGAGCACATTTTTAACAATTTTATAGTAACCAGGACGACGCATCTGAATACAAGGTAGACGCTCAGTGATGGACTCTTTGTTTTGGACGGATCGAAGAGATGGCCCAGTGATAAAAGGAAGTGCCCAGGTCGATTCCTGGAGGAATGTGTGAAATCTACGAATGATGTCTCGCGTCGTCATATTGCTAAATTTGAATAAGCCCTCAGTCTGGTCACTTTGTTTCAGTATTGTACACAACGACTTTCGCCTCTTACAATTGACCTTGACCTCCAAGGATTCTCGACAACCGACACCGTGGTTCTTCACGGCTTCCACGCCCATGCACTCGGAGACCTCAGTAATGGCTGCGCAAGCCTTGGGGGACACTTCAACCCGTTTGGAACTAATCATGGCGATCGTACCTCCCCAGTAAGGTAATCTGGTTTTAATCGCAAGCATATGAGTGAATCATGACGGATTTGAGTAAAATCAAATCATGAGTTGATCAATGAAGGATTTTAAACTGACACAGTGAGATGGCGTCCGTCTTTGAGGGCGTCCGGAGTTGAAGGTCAACTTAACTAATGAGAACTATTTATCTAAAACAATGCGTCCAGTGCCTAGTGGTTAAAGTGTTCGCTCGCAACGGTGAAGACCCGGGTTCGATTCCCCACATGTGAAGTCCATTTCTGGTGCTCACCGTGATATTACTGGAATATTGCTGAATGCAGAGTAAAACCACTCCTTCACGCACTATCCTTTTGTGTGTGCCACTTCTGTTCTGTGCTATTGTTAGTTTTTTTGTTTTGTTTCAGACATGCTGGTGACTTCGGAAACATCATGGAACAAGCTGATGGCACTGTTAATACAACCATTACTGATACGGTAGCGAGGCTGTTCGGGACGAACTCACTCATCGGCAGGAGCCTTGTGGTATGCGTGTCTTATTATACATGTATAATGTTACTACACAGACGTACAGTACGAATACAGCTCGATTCCAAGATAATGATTCTTAGTCTGAGACCACCATATTCGTCTAGGACTCTAAAATTCACTGTGTAGTTTCATTGTTTCTTTTACCAGGATCCCTTGATCTTGGGTTCGAACCAAGTCGTCGTACGCTTCATAAAGGTGGAACACATCTACGAAGTGGTCCCTTTGGGTTTCCCTTCAATATACGTGTGAGCTGGACCCGTGAAGATCCGGGGTAGAATAGGTCTTAACCAACCCATGCTTGCCACAAAGGGCGATTATGCTTGTCGTAAGAGGCGACTAACGGGATCGGGTGGTCAGACTCGCTGACTTGGTTGATGCGTGTTATCGTATACCTATTGCGTGGATCGATGCTAATGATGGATTGTCTGGTCCGGACTCGAGTATTTGAAGACCGTGGTGATATAGTTGGAATATTGCTGAGTGCGTCGCTAAACAAAAGACAAACAAACAGACAAACAACAATGTGTGAGCTGACATGTAATTTCTGGTACGTAAAACCCAACTCACTCACTCGCCAAGAATTTTGTTTCATTGTACGTAAAAGTGAGAAATTTTTATCAGGAAAAATAAGACATATAATATAATCTGCCAAATGCAACATTTATGGTGAAGAAAGACCTTTTAATGCGTGCGGCGTCTAGTCTATTATCTTACAGTGTACCAAACTACATATTTTCGGCTTATAAACTTTCTGGTATGTACTTCGCAGTCTCCGTCGGAGTAGCCATTGGTTGGTAGTGTACATGTGTTCGCCGACATAGTCAAGACTTTACAGGTTTCAATACATCAATGACTACATATAGCCGTGTAGATGTTTTTAACCAAAGTATCAAGCCACGGACCTTTGACCGTTTGGCCTGTCTTTGAAACTTGTGATGAAATATTGATGATGTGTGCAGTTGGAAGGTTCTGAGAGTACAATGTATACACCCGACTGGCCATGGGATTGAAGAGCTCTTGATACATCTTTAGACATACAATACACGTGGCGATCAAGTCACTGAACATTTGTGGATGGTCCTGTCCTATCTGACAGTTGGCTTGAGCAGGTTTACCATTGTCATCGGATTCGTGCTCTGCAGTTAATCGCGTACAATGGTAAAAGCTTTTGGCGCGTTTACTAATAAACGGAATATTTAGTCATTCTGTATTGAAACTTACTTAACCGCACGGTTGGGAATGTATGTTTATGGCTTTGTTCTGTTACATCGAAAACGACTGTCAAAGGAGGCGGTTGGGTGGTACTCTTCCCGCCCACTGCAAAAAGCAAGCTCAAAAATTACTTTAAAATATTGAAATAAAAGTATCAGCTATGTTGTAAGCATAGCTTAAGCATAAGCATAAGCTAAAATGTATGAAAAAGGCCGTTTTTTTCTGGCTTCAAGAGAAAATGAAAGTTTGGGTGCCCCAACTGATGAGTTTTGTTTATCTTCAGCTTGGGTCAAATACTTAATATGCATTTAATGTTGTTTGATAGGCATTACTCAGAAGTTGACGGTTAACAAAGTAGACACAATCTATGGACAACAACTTCTTTATTTACTGTATAGGCGACGTATAGACCCTTATTTCGTTGTCGACGATAAAAGGATCAATACCGAAACGTCGCCTTTACAGTAAATAAAGAAGCTCTTATCCATAAATTGTGTCTACTTTGGCCTTTAATGTTGTTTTGAGGGTTTGTCATTGTCCACTTTACGGAGCACATGCCGAATTTTTGGAGGGTAACCTTAATTAGTCGCAGTGTGTGGATTCCACGTACAAAAAATCACGTCGAAGGCTCCCATCCGAACATATTCAATCAAATAGATGTTTTGACAACTGAACTTAGACACACCTGAAAGATGGTAGTCCCACAAGAAGAAATAGAGGGGCTTGGAGAATGCCCTGGCCACATGTATGAGAAATTTAGAGAATCGACATAAATGTGCTATCGAGTATATGGATGCAGTATAACACCTGACTAGTATATCCACTATAGTCGGCCGCTCTTTGATTCTGACCCTTGAAACATGTCGGAAACCTATACTATCAGGAGGCCCCACTCTATCCCCGGCTCAAATCAAAGAGGGGTACTTCTAAAATATGATTCAATTCTGAGGACTTAAACTGAAATTTCATTATCATTTGTAGATCCATGCAGGAACTGATGACCTTGGCCTTGGTGGTAACGCCGGAAGTGTGGCTAGCGGCAATTCAGGACCAAGAGTAGGATGCTGTGTCATTGGTCGGGGGCAGAACCCACCGCGCACGGTGGTGTGGGGAAAGTAATATATGGTCAAGTATCATATTTTCGATGCAAAATATGCGAATCACTGTATAGGCCTGTGGCTATGTATACAATAAACTTGATTGCCTCAAACTGTATAACTCCGTGTTCGTACATCGATAGTTAAGAAGCCGTAAATGTTGGTAGACAGATAAAAGCAATACGGGGCAAGGGCGTTTACCATATAGAACCCTTGAGTACCCAGGGTACGAATCTGTTACACCATGCGTTGTTTGCGGGATAAAGCATCTGAAATAGATAGAATTATTTTTAAACGGCAGTGGGTCACTGTTATGTGATAATGCCTCATTTTGTCAAAGGACGGGCAAGTATCATTCCACCTTATCCTATGACGTCATAGCCAACTGGTGACATATGGGTCAGAGATGTCAAACAAAGATATAGTGATTCAGGTGAAGAAACAATTGACAGATTCAGATGCAGAGTAATCGAGCATTCTGCAACAGTCCTTACTCTAGTAATATTTAACCACTTGATAACGGTGTACGAATCTACATCGAAACGTTGCTATATATCCAATAGAAAAATCATAAAGAGGAGTCGATTGTACTTTTCCGACAATATCATGACTATGTGTTTATGAATCACTATGAAACACATGCAAAGGCAAGTCAATTGTTCATCAACTTTGGATATACCAACCACATGTCTGTATTAAAACTCGCCAGTGTGCATGGATTCGGTAAAAGGCTACAACAAAACAAAGGAATTACTCCTTATGCAATAAGGAAAACACACATGTACGTGAGTACGTTTACTACTGAGTGGTAGACTATAACTTTATAATAATCCGAAACATCCCAGTATAGCATGAATACTGAAAGAAGCGTCAGAGCAATCATTACGCTCATCCCTATACAAGAAAGATCTAAAAAAATGAGTTCGCATCAACTTTACACGTGGTTTCTGATGCTACATTACACTAGAAATTTCACATTTTTAATAAACACAAAATTTAACATCAGTTACATCAAAAACATATCTAAAAAATTTCAAACCAGTGAAATACATAATGGAGTTAATGTCCAAACAAAGATCGTATCCGCATATTTTGTAAATCAGCTGAGTGTTCAACAGCTTCGTCACAATCACAATACACATTTGAAATGTACACATTTAAATTGGAAATGCACAGTTAAATTTGAAATATTATTTCTCATCCGTTCTCCGACCGGCAGCCATTGTGAAACGAGAAGGGGGGCAATTCTCATTACCCCTATTCCAAACCCAAACGTTCACGTTGTATCTTTCGATGATAAGTTCAAATCTTGACATTCTTCGTCTCCAAATTCAAATTTTATGTGAAGCATTTATATACTCTTCAAAAATAGAAACGCAAAGCCAGATTTGTGTTAGGTAGGAAAATACATTTATACGAGGAACCGTACAAGGTATTGAGCCAAAATGTTGTGGAGAGAACACTTGGGGATTGTAGTCATGTCAGTTATCGGTACATAGGAAAAGTCCAAGGTGAAGGTCAGCTACCATCAATAACGCCTATGTCCCCTGTTGGAATCGATAGCGTCCTGTCCATGGAAGAGACCAGTATGCGAATCACATCCTGGGGAATGGTAGCCCAATCGGCCTACAACGCAAAAGCCAACTGCTGCAACGTCTGGGGCTGTGTTTGACGTCGGCGTAGCCGTCTATCCAATTCATCCCATAGGTGCTCTATCGGGTTCAAATCTGGCAATATAGAGAGCCAGGGGAGAACATCAACGTTGTTTTTGTGTGATCCGTGCTGTATGCGGTCGAGCGTTGTCCTGCTGGAATATATCGTTGCCGTTGACTGCAATTAGGAGGACGTGTGGTAGGACGTGTGGTCGATGTATCGTTGAGCCATAGGATTGCCCTGGATGTCGTCCAAACCTGTCCTGCCGTGGTGAGAGATAGCCGCTCACATCATAACGCTACCCTCACGAAAACCTGTCCACTTCCTGTACGCAGTTTCCGGCGTAACGTTCACCCCGACGTCTGTAGACCCGTGCTCTTCCATCCCCTCGACGGAGGAGAAATCTTGATTCGTTGCTGAACCAGACGTCTCTCCATCGCAGTTGAGGCCATACCCTGTGTTGACGACACCAATGCAGTCGTTGTTGACGATATTGTCGACTCAATATGACGCGTCGAACAGGACGTCTTGTTCGTAGACCTGCTGCTCTTAAACGGTTTCGTACGGTCTGGTCGGAGATTCTGCGCAGTCCGGGAATTTGTTATGCGGTTAAGGTGGCTGCGATCTTCCTTTCATGTAGGTGACGCAGTCGTATGTAGCGATCTTGGGCGGGGGTGGTTACTCTTGGTCGTCCCGACCTTGCAAATTTGGCCGATCACATGTTGACTCATGCTGTTGAAACCTATCCCAAAGCCTTGTGATGTTGATGGGCGCTACATTGAAAACCCTGGCTACAGCTGATCAGGATTCCAATGCCTTCACGCGGCCTATGACGTTGTTTCTTTGCACTTCTGTTAATCTTGGCATGTTGTTGAACTGTCAATGTTCGATCGACGCAGATGCCAGGCAATCAAGACCTTCACTTTAATACCGTTCATAGTGCTGCTGCGCGTGGAGTACGTGCAGTGCGCGCAGTGCGTGCAGCTCCATGACCCTTTTGTTTAAACACTGGGTGCGTTTTTCCGAATCGAAGTGTTTCCCGTCTAATGGTTTGCATGTCCTTCTTGTGATCATTTTGATCCGGGAAATTTTTCACTGACACTGTAACACATTAAAACTCTTCATTTTGCACCTCTTGGTCCGCTACTTTTGCTTTTATGGCCACAAATATCCGTTTTGTGTTTCTTTTTTGAAGAGTATACAATCAAGGAAGGACTATCTTTATATTCACAGAAAGCATGTGGAATTAATACCATATGGATTCTCAAAAACTCAAAGGATTTGTGAAATGTGAAATGCCGGACTTCCTCATTGATAACATCTCCTTAAAATGTGGGGGTAAGACATTTAGGCAAGAAGGTGTCCCCATGGGCACCAATTGTGCTCCCTTCTTGCGTATCTGTGTCTTTATGCATAAGCATAAAGATTCAGAGTGACAAAACACTCTCCGTAAGACTGTAAGAGAGAGGACGTCTACCCCTGTGCCGTTACAAGTAACAGTGATATTTTATTTGGTGGTTCTCATTAATGCGCTTCGCTTAGGACCGGAATGCTAGTTTTAGAACGTTCGTCGGTCGCAACAACGACATTAGTATTGTGGCAAAAACGACCGAATCTGTCCCGGCAACGTCCCGATTCTCCGGAATGCGATCCGACAGAGATCAGATAGTGAACGGACAGTGTACCGACAAAGACAGTTCGCATTCGGCAAGATCTGGACGCTATCTGGAATCAATCGACAGGAAACGGCAATGAACAGTTTCTCCAAATCATGTCCGTTCATCACGGCAGCGTCTCGATCCACAGAACACCGTCCAGACAACACCGGACATTGTTACCCCCCGCCCCAACGAAGTTGGCGGGGGATATAAAAATAGGTTCCGTCCCTCCGTCTGTGCGTCTGTGTGTGTGCGTCCGAAATATATCATTGATTATTCGTTGATCTTGTGTGGCCATTTACATATTACATAATTTAGTTCTGTGCGAACCGATTTCTAGGTTAACCTCTCTACGTTTCAATTTGGAAATCACCTCGTAACACTCGGCCTTCAACGTTTGTATAAAGGTCTCTCTGAATAACCCTATCATTTTACAAAAATGATGCACGCAAATGTTACCGAGTAGTATTAGTTCTATTGACTTCATGTCAACAATATCACTCATGATTACTATTTTAGGTGTGTGCCGTAAGAACTGCTTAATCCAAGATCACGACTGCGACACATATGTCGCATGGAGCAGCTGATGATGACTTTCAGTTTAAATGCAAAAATTCAACACAAAAAATGAGCGATTGAATAAGTGAGTGGGTTTCTCCGTTTTGAGCAGTAGTTCGGTTGTAACATGGCATTTCAACATTAATGTCGGACGGAGGCCCAACACGACACAGGCGTTAGGTTTTCCACTTTATTAAAATCCACGATAACAGGCACGATAACGAAATCATCATAAACAGGGAGAACCAGGAATTCGAACCCACGACCACTGAATTCTCTTGCAGCGCCTTAGGCGACTTGAAAGCCCATACCCCCTTTCCTTAGAGTGAGTGAGTGAGTTGGATTTAACGCCGCTTTTAACAGTATTCCAGCTTAATGTGGGAGGAAAGCCCGAAGTGATGCAGGTCTCAGACGTTTACCACTTCGGTGAAACACACGAGCACGGGTATGATGCTGACAAACCTAGAAACATAATCGGGGCGAACCGGAATTCGAACCCACAATCATAGGTTTCTGGCGTGCCCAAGAGACGCAACTCTGCACAGTAAATCGCGGCGCCTTAGACGACTGGGCCACCCGTGCCCCCCCCCCCCCCCCCCCCCCCCCCTTCCTTGGAACAAAGATTGTATCAAATTAATACAAATGGTTTTGTATTATCTGTTTTATAAAGCTTAAATACTACAATAAGCCTCCCATGTTTCCAAACATAAACGGTCCTGCTAAACCAGTACTGTCTGTATGATACGTCTACTAACTGTTTCATTTCTCTATAAAAAATATAATATTTGACTAAACTACAGATTTCAGGTTCATAAATTTTCCCTTTCTAAAACGTCCTTTTGACTTTCTGTCAAACCAATATGTATCACGTGTAGTGAGTGAGTGAGTGAGTATGGTTTTACGCCGCTTTTAGCAATATTCCAGCAATATCACGGCGGGGGTTACCAGAAATTGGCTTCACACATTGTACCAATGTCAGGAATCGAACCCTTGTCTTCGGCGTGACGAGCGAACGCTTTAACCACTGGGCTACCCGACCGCCCCGTATCACGTGTAATGATCTGGGTGTGTCGCATCGCGTACCAGCTGTGAACAGACAATATATCAACTTATGTAGTTCATCTGAACTCGTGACAAGTTCCCAATGATAACGTACACTGAGTTCAAACAAACAAACTAAATCGATTTATTTTCTATATAAATCGAACAGTATACAATGTTGGTATTCTTTGTCCAACGTGGGACAAAGAGAATAAAATATTACAATTTTATTACAAAATTCATCCTCAGTGAAAATTCATAAAAATATCAGGTTTTGGATAACATTGAACGAAGATAGCGATATACAACTCGTTTTATAATTCAGTATTACGATTCATTATTTGTGATATATCGACAGTTTCTTTATTCCCGAATACATCAGTTACTGTTGGTCCGCTGCGTACCACTCCTCTCCATAGCCGATGATACAACAGGCCAGTCTGGCTCCAGCATTTCCGTTTTCCTTGCTGGACGGCTTCCCGCCTCTCCCAAGGTCATCCGTTCCTGCGTGAATCTGCCACACCAAGAAAAGCCAAAGTAACATGTGTTCGTTGTGTTTTATTGTAAAACAGTAGGCGATCGGAATGGAAACTGTTGAACTCACCACGATTGCTCTTCCTAATATGGAGTAACGGCCGAAAATGCTTGCAACCCGGTCACGGTGATAGTGTTTGACGATACCATCATGAGCCGGAATGTTCCCAAAGTCGCCAACGTGTCTGCAAGCATAACAGAGCAATACAGTTTCAAATAAGCCTTATGGTTATATCAATTATAGCTTTGTCAAGTATTTAATGTCAGGTTATTTCCTTATCACTCTTGGAGGCCCAGGACACCTAATGATTTATGGGTCCTCAATCCGTTGTTGCATCCCTTAGAACATTCAGGATCCGTTTGTTTTCGGATTGAATTCCAGATTCTTCTCGATCACGACCATTGAGGTTTAATATGCTCGTATATGTCCACAACGTTAATAAACACCTACAACCCGGGTCATGTTGATTTAATAATTTCTTGTTTAATGTTTAATAACTGTTTAATGCTGCGTTACATCCTACTCAATCAATGATTTAATATGGAAACATGCACCGAGCATGTCTGCCACCAAAGTAATACCTTTTTAAGTTTGTTGTTTACGCAATATTCCAGCTATTTCATGGGTTCTAGATCTGTGAAAAATCGGGTCTGGACCATTTAAGTGAGGTGCAGTGAGGTAAATGGGATTTAACGTCCCGTTCAAGATACTTTTACTTTGCGATGTACATGCACGTGTGTGGGTGGCTGTTAATTCTAGTTTTATAGTGCTCATCCACCTGGTTGCCATGCTGCAGTTTAACATGGATGCCCTACCTCAGACCCAGTAGACTGAATCCGAGCCGACCTGTCCTTATATTGTCCCCTTAATACGTCGTTTTGTAGGTCAGGGGTAGAATAGGTCTTCAGCAACCCATGCTTGCCGTAAAAGGTAACTATGCTTGTCGTAAAAGGCGACTAACGGGATCGGGTGGTCAGGCTCGCTGACTTGGTTGATGCATGTCATTGATCCCAATTGCGTGGATCGATGCTCATGATATCAATCACTGGATTGTCTGGTCCAGACTCGATTATTTACAGACCGCCGTCATATAGCTGGAATATTGCTGAGTGCGGCGTTAAACAACAAACCAACCAACCAACGTCGTTTTGTATGACAGAGACAGGGGAACTTACAGCTGATGCTCTCTTCAGGCAGACGCTGACCGCTGTAATAATCGCGTTTAATGCAAATGGTATATGCATCGGCACCTGATTGGTTCCTGTATCTATTAAATAGCTTACCTTTGGCGATTAAGATGGTTTTATAGTAATAAGACATATTGTCTCATGCTTGTGGGTATTTAAATAGGGTTAAAGTGAGTTTTTAGCGGCTCCGAACAGTAGTTCAGTTATATGCGTAGCAAACTGTATCTGCTAAATATGGGATGGAAGCCCGAAGTGATGTAGTTCACAACTTTTGTAGTCTCAAAGGGCGATGGTATGGTGCTGAGGAATTAATGATGATGATGAGGCATCAACGCGGTTGTAAATCGCTCTCTGTGATCCAAACATCGTAAGAGAATATATAATATATTCTCATTGTTAAAAATGACGGCTACGGTACTCTTTAAAACAATGAACGTTAAATTCGTTCTCATTATTTCTTCAATATTCTGCAGCGTACCTAACGTTTCTTGCAAGAAGCGGAGGCAAATAATGTCATCCTCTTATTATTGTGTCAAAATGTCTTAGGGACCATCCATTTGATATTCTGGGAAATTCTTGGATTTTATCAAAAGATATTAATTGTCCCGGAAAAATCTTGAAAAACATACTTTTGCTTCAGAATGAGGTAATTGTCATAAAAAATATCAGTTTGTTGCAAGGTGTTTTCTGAAAATATATTTAGGCTTATGGATATAATTCACAAAATATCTGCTTTTGCAACTATAGCTGAAAAAAATAGTCTTCATACGACATAACAGTTATCCAGGTGACGTAGTCTACAATTATCAGCGTCAAAGACTAGCCGCTTCGGGAAGCGGCCATCGACGACCAGGGCCTAGTTCAACAAAGCCAACGTTCAATCGTGGGAGTTACGCTCAGATTACTTTGTTGAAAGGGGCCTGCCTAGTCACTCGTGTCCGCCGTGCCTCCAGTGCCCTCGAAAACTTCAATAACAAATTAAACACTTACTTGAAATACATGTTAAACATAAAAGTGATGTTAAAATTAAAACCTTATTTGATCAAAGGGAGCCCCGTGGGTCATGTTGAAAGGATTGTAATGGCCTCCTGTGCTGGTGCATCCGTCAGACAGGTCACCGTATTGATGCACGTGGTAACCATGCTTTGTCAAGGGGTCAGAGAGTGGGAAACCCTCCAGAGAGACCGAGACCAATAGGTAACTATAGGCACCGCAGTACTGTAAAAACAAACGTAACACATATCTGCGCATTGAAGAAAAAAAGCGACAAAATCTTTTCCATAATCATATAACTATATATTTTTTTATTGAAAACATGTGGAGGACATTTCCAAAATGGATGCCTCAAGTACAATATACGATGGCCGATGCAATTCCCTATTTTCCTGTGTTCTTATTCAGGTAAACTGCTATTGCATGTGTTTTCGAAAAATGCCATCGGTGGGGAAGGATACGATTTGCTAGTGATTCATTAATTTACATGCTCATGATATCGGAATCGTACCATGGCCTCTTTTAGCAGCTGCATGTGTTTCTTCTGATTATGGAAAGGGTTTTGTTGTATTATTTTACCCTGGGATGCCTGTCTCAAATACACATAATTAATGTATTTTCACCAATTTTACAAGTCATCAGAACAGAAACAGCGTGACGGAAATACATATACAAAGGGGTTTTCTCCTTTGACAGACCTACATAACAACATCAACATGTCACCTGTCACATAACATAGAATGAAAAACTAGGCTACTGTTCTTGAATATTTATCGTTTGATTTGTTTTAAAGGAAATGTGGGCACAGGAGTCACTTACATCAGTTTGAGCGAAGCGTACGGCTCCAGTTAACTTGTAAGGAGCTCTTGGGTCTGCCTGAATAGTACAAGTGGCAAAATCTGGAAACGAAACAGAGCTCCGTGACGAGTTACATAAACTACATGTAGCATCTACTGGATAATATAAAATACATGCGTGTTTATGTAAATACTTAATGCAAGGTGTATGCGTCTTTATGTACGGCATATGTGACTTTATATATTACATATGTGTGCTAAAAAGCTTTTTGAGCCATTGTGATGAACTGGAAAAAGTCATATTTATTTATGTAAATATATGCGAGTGAATGAAAGTATATGCGTATCAGTACAAGTGTGTGCATTTGTAAAAATATGTGAGTGTAAGTAAGAATGTGCGTTTTTATAAAATATAATTGCATTATATAAGTTTGTGTTAGTATATACGTGTTAATGCACGTTTGTGCGTTTCAGTGCAGGTATGTGAATTTCGGTTAGAATATGTGAATTTAAGTGAACATTTTCGGGTTTATCAGATATAATTATATCATATACGTTTATGTAACTACATGCGTTTCAATGCAGGTATGTGAGTTTATGTTATAATGTGTGAATGTAAGTATGAACACACGTGTTTAAAACGTATTATTGTATTATGTATGTTTATATATTTATTATTATTATTATTATTATTAAGTTTTCGCTTTGCAGCGTAAGTATATGAATTTATGTAAGTATATATGAGTTTATGGAAGAATATGCGTGTATATACGTAAATTAATAATATTATGTGAGCATAACAATCTTTATGTACAAAGTAATGTGAGTTTATGTGAGCATAACAATCTTTATGTACAAAGTAATGTGAGTTTATGTGAGCATAACAATCTTAATGTACATAATTATGTGAGTTTATGTGAGCATAACAATCTTTATGTGCGAAGTAATGTGAGTTTATGTGAACATAACAACCTTTATGTACAAAGTAATGTGAGTTTATGTGAAAATAACAACCTTTATGTACAAAGTAATTTGAGTTCATGTGAACATAACAATCTTTATGTACAAAGTAATGTGAGTTTATGTGAACATAACAATCTTCATGTGCACAGCAATGTGAGTTTATGTGAACATAACAATCTTTATGTATAAAGTAATGTGAGTTTACGTGAACATAACAACCTTTATGTGCAAAGTAATGTGAGTTCATGCCTTTCACAGTAAGTACATGTAGGTGGGTTTGAGTAAGAATATCCGTGTTTGTACGTATCATAAGTTTTTGTAAGTTTATTCGTGTTTATGTAAGTATGTAGTTATATTGACATATACGTATCGACATGTGTACGAGGTGTTACATAACTAACATAACTTTAAAAATATGCTTTCAATTTCACCAAAACGTCCTTGACATACATTCAGTATATAGCAGACACCTCCGAGCCTACAGCAGACTGTGTATATTCATAAACCGTCTGTCATAACAATTGATGCATAATGCAGACGGTGTATGAAAGTAGAAGGACATACGAAAAACTGGTTCGTCGAGTTAATAAATATTTAATATTAGATTTGTCTCTTATACTTAATATTTCAGTTTGTCTGCACTTGACAGAGTAATCTGCAAATAGCATGTTCTGCAAGAGGAATTAAAGGGAAACAATAATCCAAGTTTGAAAGTATTGAAATATGAGTCGGATTCTTCTTCGCGGAATCATAAACTTGCTTATTATGGTTAACTTTATAATTTCGACTGGTTTGACTTGTGTTCGGCGTCTATCGGACGATTGTAGAATGAGAAGCCGTATATCATAACAAAAAGTCAAACTTTGTTGTTGATTAATGCATACACGACTCGAAAGGGTGAAGCTATCGGTCAGCAGGGGGCACGGGTGGCCCAGTCGTCTAAGGCGCCGCGTTGCGTCCCTTGGGCACGCCAGAAACCTATGATTGTGGGTTCGAATCCCGGTTCGCCCCGATTATGTTTCTAGGTTTGTCAGCACCATACCCCTGCTCGTGGGTTTCACCGAAGTGGTTAACGGCTGAGACCTGCATCACTTCGGGCTTTCCTCCCACATTAAGCTGACACGCCGTGATATAACTGGAATACTGTTAAACGCGGCGTTAAACCCAACTCACTCACTCACTCACTCACTATCGGTCAGCATCATATTATGCACAGGGGAAAACTACACAGTATCCCTTCAGAGAACTCAGGTAAACGGTGAGGTGATAACTAAATTGGTCAATAAAAATGTGAAATTTGAGATAAATTATCACTGGACATTATGATTCACCATTTAAATTGTATTGTTCTGCTAGGCATAACCGATAGGCGACAATATTGGATAGGGTGGTTAGGTTCGATGGGTGATAAGTCGTGGGTGCCCTATGGTGTGAATCGTTAAGCCATGTCTCAGGCTCAATTATTTACAGGCCGCCCTAAAACAGGTTGAATATTGAGACTGAGACGTTAACCAACTGTCACTCAGCCACGTGTATGTTCTTACCTTCGTGAGGAACGCAGTTGCTCTTCGGTTTGCTAGAAAACTTCGAAATCCAAGGGTTCGTGTTTAAAACTGACCCGTTGGCGTACAGCACACACTGGGATACAACCGCCAGCACAGCCGGGAGGTACGTCGGCGACATCTTGACTTATGGATGCAGATCGACTTTGGGAGTTTATATTAAGGAGGGTCACAATATGGGACTACAGTTACAGTAGTGTCATTGTGACAGCTAGCGTGGTTATATATAACACGATGTCATAAAGGTATATGAGAAACAATGAGAGAGAGAAAGAGAAAGAGATTTTCAGTGGTCCATTCATATAACCTTCACAGCTATTTTGCCCTTAATGAAAAATGGAATCCGTTTCGGCGGATAATCAAGACTGGTTATTTTCTTACATTGACATTACATATATTAGTAGAAATTTCTCATTATTTGGGAAAGGATTAAATATGTCTCGTTTGTTTCTCATACATCACTTTAATTCGCTTATCGTTAACAATATAAATAATGATAACTGCATAAAAAAAAAGAAATATTATGATTTATTATACATTTATTTTGATTGTATTAAACTACTGTCATTCATTGTATTTATATATACAGACTAAGGTAAATCCCCCATAATATTGTTTTGGTAGAGATCAGTCAAACACCATATAAATACACTCGATGATACATCTGGGTCGTTTTAGTTCCCGCGGGCCAAGACGCACCAAGGATCGTGAAAGAGTCAATACTGAGTATGCTGAGCAGAAAGCATTCAAATTATTCATACTGTTTGTCCAAATATGAGACTGAGAGAAAGCATTATACCAATGAAGAACACAATTCATACTCAGTGAAATGTCCATAAGATATCAGGCATTGAAAACCATTTAACGACGTATGTCAACCGCTCAGACAGCGACATTCGTTTGACAATGCAGTGTTACTATTCAGTATTCCGTATTCGTGATATGTCCACAGTCTATTCCGAATACATCAGTTACTGTTGGTCTGCTGCGTACCACTCCTCTCCACGTCCGATGACACAACAGGCCAGTCTGGCTCCAGCATTTCCGTTTACCTTGCTGGACGGGTTTCCGCCTTTTCCAAGGTCATCCGTTCCGGCGTGAATCTGCCACAACAAGAAAAACCAAAGTAATATGTGTTTAAGTGTATTCACTGGTTGATTATCATTCCATTCTTGCAAATAACAAAGTCTCCATGTGTGGAGTGACCCCTGATTGCAATGACAGTGATGGTGATTTTACATTCAATTTGAATACTTTAGCTTATGTAGCATGGATGTGGTCTTTATAGTTTGGCTTAATATTCAATCACCATCAAGAACTACTTTTTGTTTGAAAAGGTTGGTTAAACTTGAAAGTTTAGGAAACAAACGTTTCTGACCAGTGAATTATACCATATCAAGTAAGTTCCATGCGACGAAGAATTTCAGTGTTTCCACATTATAAATCTTAAATATGATGTATGACATGGGCCAAACAGTAACTAATGGATCCTTTAATGCTGATTATTTCCGTGACAAATATCTCCAAACTCTTCTTGGCGTTATTAATAATATACAACTAAAAAAGTGAATTATAAGATGCGCCCAAGTAATTTCAATTGTAATGGGAAGGAAGATAGTAACATTGATGGAGTCCAGTCATGCATTCCACCAAATTCAGGCATCAAGTTTGGGCATTTAAATCTGCTGTCGCACAATATTTTATTCCTTCATATACATGGCATGACGGAAGATGTGAGAGGCACAAAGACGGCAAATAATCGGAGTGCATCCAACAGAGTTGTCCTTCAAAGCTATCTGGCGTCAACTGGGCCAACATTAAACAGTAATGAATGGTGAGAAGGCACGCTGTTCTTTCACAGTCAGAACGCCCTTCTTCCCAACATGAATCCAGGACAGTGCTTTGATTAGTTCGACGACAGCCATTTGCAAGTAGCCATATTCTACAAGGAGCCACTTGAGAGCAGCAAGATTGACGTCCAAGAGCGTCATCAAACACCCTCTACTGGTAGATCACCAGAGGTGTTGTTTGGGATCATCTTGAACACAACAGACTAGGAACCTGAAAACCTGGCGAAAAGTCAATTTGTCGGACGAAAGCATGATCCTGTTCCGTGCCGTTGATGCACGACTGAGGATTTGGAGGCACAGAAATATGGCCTAAAAATCCATGAACATTAGGCCAGCTATCCCTCATTGAGCAGACTCGGTACTGACTGGGGGTGTATCTCTTACGATTGCAAGATGGATCACTCAAGACAACATCACCACATCAGTTCAACCGAAATATCCGGAAACCAGTTGTTGTTCCCTATTTCAACAATCACCCTATAGCCTCAAGACTTCAGTTGAAGGGTGACAACGCCAGACCTCATCGTTTCAGGGTAGTGACCACGACAGCCTACCTTCAGAAGAACGCTGTGCCGACTCTGCCTTGGCCCGCAATGAGTCCAATTCGGAATCCGCTAGAGCACATTTGGGATACCTTGGGTGTAGTTTACAGGCACTGGAACCTCATGTACAGAATCTGCGTGAATTGAAAGGAGTTGCCCCTTCTGCACGCCCGACTAGTGGGAGAGGCGCTGGATGGAGGTCAGTGTAGGGTTTACTTACTACTGAACCTTTGAAGAACGGGTGTCAACGATGGACCCAAAGTGATATTTGCATCAACAAAACCTGAAATCATCGAATGAATTCTCCATACCTTAAAGAGATATTATTTGGGGGATGAAACTACACTGGTGGTTGTGCTAGAATATCCTGATCAAAATATAACCTCAGCTGACAACGGTTGTTTCTTATTGTTAGAGATGCATTCGTTTACCCGAACTCATTTGTCAGTAGTTTCATTCCAACACTAGTTGTATTAGTCATTGAAAGATTCTGTGAGTGCTTTACTTTCTTCCAGCAGTATATTATTATAGTGTTGCGATCTGCGGATACAGTTTAGGGAAATCCGATCATTTCATTTTCTTTTAAAACAGTATGCGCAGGCTGGTAGGAATGGGGTCAATTGAACTCACCACGATTGCTCTTCCCAATATAGAGTAACGGCCATAAATATCAGCCATCCACTCACGACGATACTGTTTTACTTGACCAGCTTGAACAGGAATGTTCCCAAAGTCACCCACGTGTCTGCAAGCACAACAAATCACAACTGTTAAAAATCAGCCTTGTGGTTACAACTACAGTTTTGTAATGAAATCTCAGATCATTCCCCTATCACTTCTGGATGTACAAACGCCTATTAATTACTTGGAGTTTATAGGTGCAAAGTCAGGATCCATTAGTCGTCGGTTCGAATTCCTGATTCTTCTCCTATTATGATCCTAATGTCTCGTAACCCTTGCTCAAGGATTTCCTCCCTCAGGTTGAATTTATAAGTCCTCGCATTTAACTGACACGCTTTAAAAACGTTGTTCAAATCTGCGTTACATACAACGCAATCACTCATTTTATATGTAAACATTGACAGAGCAAGTCTCCATAATGATAATAATAATACTGTGTATATCTCTAATGCACAAAGCGTGCTAAAAATGCTACATTATTACCCCCAAAATGTGCACTCGGTTTTAATTCTCAGCTCCCTGGGGAATATACCCCCTAAGCTACTTGTGAGGTTTTAAAACGTTAACAGTCACATCGCCATCTCACCCCACCGGGTAGCCATTCACTGCTTGTACACAGAGGCACATTTCGAACAATGTCACTTGCCTAAGGAGACACCATATGTGTCTTGAGACGAGCATGGAGATTGGCTGGTTGTTACTCATGCTATTAGCCACTGCTATGACTGCTCCATTTCAATAATTAATGTTCGTACAGACCGCCATGTAACATTGCAGACAGCAACATTAATTACAATGATAACTTAAAAATGCATGTTAAAAATACAAGTGATGTTTAAGATAAAACCTTTTCTCATCAAAGGGAGCCCCGTGGGTCATGTTGAACGGATTGTAATGGCCTCCTGTGCTGGTGCATCCGTTAGACAGGTCACCGTATTGATGTACGTGCATGCCATGCTCTTTCACTGGGTCAGAGGTCGGGAAACCCTTCAGGGTGACCTTGATTAATAGGTCACCATAGTGGCCGCAGAACTGTAACACAAAAACGAAACATCTGCATCTGTACCATGAAGTAAAAGACGATTTAGTATATAAGCGCCCAAACATCTGTCTATCTTCCATCCATCCATCCATCTACCCACCCACCGATTTTTTATTTATATATTTTTGTAACGATCATTTTACTATGGTCGCGTATATATAAAAAAAATCTGTATATACAATGAGATACCTTTCAAGAAATGTTCAAACTTCTGTTGAACTATTATTGATTGACTTAAGTGGGCTCTGCACATTATGAACTTTAAAATATTTGTATGTATACCGTAATTGTGTGAATGTGTCACCCTCAATATGCTATGCATTGTAGTTTAATTCAAATTCAGTTCGGTTCAGACTGACCAGCGTAGATCGACGGGATATAGCTGGACTGTTGTTTGAAGACATCTTCCCTCACCTACATATATATTATCGTTTGTGGTACAAAACAATATATTACACTAGTAATGTTTTTTTCTGTGCTCATTGCGGATATAAATCACAGATAAGGAATACATACATGTACCTCACATTAAATCATTTGTTTTTAATCAAATTTGTTAAATGGCAAATATACATTGAAAAAGCTAATCAAAGTTTTTATTTTTATTTTTATTTTTATTTTTATTATTTCATTGATATCTGTGCACAACCTTCTTAAAGTGAAATATGGTTGAGTCGTGGTTATTTCGTGCTTGTTTCATTTTATCAACATTGGTCACGTCTTTTCCAGTCGTGAGGCATAGGAATTCTCTGGCAGGTAAGTTGCGAGAACTTACTGGGTCACCTGTGCCCCAAATATATATAACTTCAAAATGTGAATTTGTACCGATTTTAAAAGTCATCAGTACATACCGTGATACGTAAACGTGAAGAAAATAGAAATCTTTAAAAATCTTCAAAAGGGGTGTTCTCCTTTGTCAGACCTACCTGACGACATCAACATGACACCTGTCACGTACAAACACATATCATGAAAAGAAGGACAACTGGTCTTGAATAGTCGTCGTTTGATTTGTTTTTTAAAGAGAGAGTGCCTGTCATGTAGGTACAACTGTCACTTACATCCATCTGAGAGAAGTCTACAGTGCCAGTCACCTTGTAAGGAGCTGCTGGGTCTGGCTGAACAGTACAAGTGGCATATTCTGGAAACGAAACAGAAAAGCGCCTTGACAAGTTACGTAAGCTTGCACCGCCGGTAAAATGACGTGCATGCGTATTTATGTAAGTAAAATCAACAAAAAAAACAATTCCATAATCATGAAAGAATATCTCCTAAAAGCAGTGTCCATTTGTACGATTCCGTATAGATCATGAGCATTTGATTATGAATTACTATCAAGTAGTAATGATACCAGGTATTCGCGAAAAGGTGAGCGAATCCTGCTCAATCTGGGGCACCCGTCACAAACACATACAAAAGAAAAGTCAATTGTCTTATATGATCACAAGTCAATCTAATTAAGGAAATGATTGTTAATGTAAGGCATGTGGGCTTAAAAATTAGATATATGTGTCTTTGTACGCTTTATAAGGAATACCTTATGAAAAGGAAGTATATGCGTTTCGATGCAAGCAGGTGGGTTTATATTAGAATATGTGCGTTTAAGTAAGAATAAGCGTGTTTGTAACATTTACTTGTATTAAATACGCTTACATGTATGTACGTGTTTGCGTGTTTATTAAATGTCTGATTTCAACGTAAGTATGTGAGTTTATGTCATTTTATGTGAATATATGAGGAAATGTTAGCATATCGTGTTTACGTACATGTACACGTGAATGTATATAAGTTTATGCGTTTCAATGAAAGTATATGACCTCAAGTAAGAATATACCTGTTTGTACGTTTGAGTAAGAATAAGACAACAGTCAACGTCAAGCTTATATATGATAATGGGTTTCCGCAGTATTAACAGTTATGCCCCTGTTGGACATTAAAAACTGATCATTTGTACATTGATTATCAATCAAAACACCATATTGGTCATTAAACGTAGGCCTGAATACATATACAAGTTTTCAACACAATTATGGCAGCTCATCGGAGACATTCTCGTTTCGTCTGGTAGGTTCGTGTGCTTGTTTGCTAGATTCAGTTATATACAGGCCGGTCTGATAATGCTTGAATATTATGACTACGACGTGAATGTTCTTACCTTTGTGAGGAACACAGTTGTTCTGCGGTTGGCTAGAAAACTTCTGAATCCAAGGGTTCGTGTTTGAAACTGACTCATGGGCATGCAGCAGCACACTCTGAGATATAACCATCAGCACAGCGGGGAGGTACGTCGTGATCGGCGACATCTTGACTTATGGATGCAGAACGACGTGTGCAGTTTATATAAGGAGGGTCACAATATGGGACATACAGTTACAGTCTTGTCGTTGTGACAGCCAGCAGGATTTTATATCACATATCACAAGTATGTGAGAAATAGTGTTTGTGTGTACATATGTTACCCTTCCATGTACTGAGTACAGACACACAACGTATTCCAGTACTATAAAGAAAAGTCCTACCTCAAATTAACTGATTTTGCATCATTTTGTCATATTTCCTGAGATAGAGATTTACGTTGACCTATTGTGACTTTTAATATATTTTAGATTCAATGTAATTGGTGTATTGTTGAACATTATCAAGCAATGGTATGTCTGGTCCAACTCGATTTTTTACAGCCCGCCACACACTATATATATATATACACGCAGACACCCTATATAAAATACATATACACAAACATATACACACACATGATATTTCCACAGTTACGCACACACACGCAATACAATATATATATATATATATATATATATATATATATGTGAATGTATGTAAGAATGTGCGTGTATGTATTCATTATATATATATATATTTATATATATTTCTCCCATAACAGGGCTTGATCTCCAATCGCCAGCAGTGGTTTATTCGTAGTGGTTTATTTTTATTTACGCAATCTGATTGGCTGGCTGATAGTGGAGTGCTGTGTCAGCGTGTTTTGATTGGCTGTCTAAAAATAAATTCCGGCACTATTTTCGAATCGGGGATTCCCGAGGTCGTCTGGTGCAGGAAATACTCAGCTGTCAAAACATTAGGCCCCACCGTAGTGACGATGTTTCAATCACCGAAAGTTGGTGATCAAGTGAAAATTTGTGGAGGAGGAAGGGGTGTGATATGCGGAGATGTATCTGAGAATTTCGGCTTCCCGATGTACGAGATTAAGTCGCAGAATGGGAAGACGGTGACCGAAGCAAGATACCGCTTCGATATTACGGGACCAGATGAGCCATTCCGGAAGATTCTTCACTGGGCGTTTTCAATGCTAATAAAACAGCTAATGAAATAGTTAAGTAATTTATGTAAAAATACTAATAGACTACCATATTGCTTTTGGTATTTAAAAAAATTAACCATCAAACACATAAGCAATGTCACGTTATAAACGAAGTGTTGATATGGAGCCGATCGATCGTTTGTGTAACCCAGCGTCCAAAGCATATTTCATAGTTATTTGACAATAATAGAGACTTCATATTTCAAGAAAATAAAGACTCAAATAATTTGTATCTAACGCAATACTTCATTTTAATGAAGGAAACGATCATACTTTGCCGGACCGTACAGCGCACGACCAGGGTGTACTGCAACCACAGCAGTTGTCTCCCCTTACAACAGGTAGAGTTTATCCAGATCAATATAATTCATCTATTTGGGCCTATAAATATTTGGGGGTTTTTTACCTTGAAGACTTCAATAATTGAAACATGCAATTCCTGGAAAATTATGAAGCTCATTTTTTTAATAAAAAAACATTAACATTACCACATTTAAACTTGAATGCAGTTATAAGTACCTTGATCTATGAAAACTCAAAAAGTAATATATGTATTTATATTTTTTCTTAACTATTTTGATTTCTAATAGGGAGCAGTGAAAAATTAATTTCATATTATTATTTTAGGTAGAAACTCACGAGAGAAAGAAAGGAATGGGTCAAAGAAAAGATCAAGAGAGAGTTCTCCATTCAGAGGTAAAATAATGATATAATTTTTTTTTTGAAATTCTGAAAAATTTGTTGTTTTGGTTGGGTTCGAGAACTTAGCCATAGGAACGAGGCTTGCCGAGTCCCTAACCATGACTTACCACAAGTATAAATATATACAATAAAATATACACACATAAATCATAAGTAAATCCAATATACATACACTATTAACATATTTTCAATCCATTTAGGTTAATCATATTTGATAATCATCATTTTGCAGAAATAATAGTTACTTTCAAAGTCAGTGCTGTTGAGTATCTAAATCAATGAATAACTGTTATTAAATCTCATGTTGTTTATTTGTAGATGTTAGACTAGATGGTTCAGATGATGAGTTTGATGAAGAGTTCAACAACTGGATGTCATGTAGCCAGGAGGAAATACAGCAATTCATCAAGGCACAAGAAAATAAGAACACCGCCAAGAAAACTAATTCAAACATGACAACACTTGCCAAGTGGTTAGAGAAAAATAGAGGTGAAACAAGACCCCTTCAATCCATCCCTCCACACAGACTTAACAGTCACCTTTGCAAGTTTTTTATGGATGCCAGGAAAAGTAACGGTGAAAACTATGAACCATCATCCCTTAAAGGTAAAATTACGCACTTTAGAAACATTATTAAAGTAATATCCAATATTATAAAAACATGGGCCTCAGATTGGCAAGTTTTCACTATTACATTTACAGATGTTAACAAACATGATAAAGAAATTGAAGTTTAATATTTTGGTAAACATCCACATCTTTAACTAACTGTCATTCTGATAGCAATGTATAGCATATATTCCAAAATTAGGAACAATCTGATTACAGTTTGTTTAATAGATGACACATAATATTTGAACGTCTTAAATTTCAAAGTAATTATACAAATCTAAATTTAAATATATTGTTATGATGATTTTAATTTTGGTTTATTCTACATTAGGATAATACACTTAATATCAAATTATTATTTAGACCAGTCTGCTTATTACTAAAAGTATGAAGCATGCTTATCTTCAAGTTCTTAAAGACATTTTACTTACAGGAATGTTATCATCATTCAACCGACATCTGAGGGAACACAATTATGCCTACTGTCTCATTAGGAGCGAGGAGTTCGCCCAGCTTAATATGGTCATTGCTTCCAAGCAAGTGGAACTGAAAAGAAGTGGGAGAGGAAACAGACCTCGTAAAGCGGATTGCCTCACAGAGGATGAAGTCGACTCATCAGGTAAATCCATGTTATGATAAATTTATTCAGCTCTTAACATCCAACTATCCTGTGACAATAAATTCTTTAGCTATGAAAAAACATATGAAAACAGCTAAAATGAGCGAAGTGGTGCTCTTCACATGTATGTTATAAAAGGTCTGTATGTAATGTATAATTGGCCGGTGTTCTCTTTACTGATATAAAGTCTCCCTCTGTCCCTCAGGTCAACTGGGATCACACACACCAGAGGCGCTCCTGCACACTGTATGGTTTAACAATACCATATACTTTGGTATGAGAGGAGTGCAGGAGCACCATGATATGAAGTTGGGCGATTTGAAAGTGAAGCAGGATGGTAATAGCGATGATTATGTTGCCTTCTGTGAGCGATCAACAAAAACAAGAGGTGGAGCAGATCCAAATAATATCAGGTAAGGAAAATAAATTGGTGATGATTTGTGAGTATGAATATTATATAAATACAACTTAATGCGCAACAAAACGAAAATATTCAATTGTTTAAAATATACTTCAATAAAATTGATTTTAATGTAATTTGAAATCATCTTCTGGTATGTTTTATGGATGAAAGAAATGTAACTCTTATGAATTATAATGAATGACCTTACACAAATAATTTTTTAATTAATCAGTAAAATAGATCATCAATGATGTGAAAGATACTTTCACTATTTCTATCTATCATGTGTTTGTCTTACAGACAAGTTGAGCCAAAGATGTGGGCTACTAAGGAGAACCCAGAACGTTGTCCTGTAAGGATGTTCAAAAAGTATACAGAATTGAGGCCAACACACTACATGAAGGAAACTGATCCCTTTTATATATCAACGTGTACAGACATGAATAAGTCCAAGAAGTGGTTCAGGGGACAGCCAGTAGGGATCAACAAGTTGGGTTCCTTCATGAAATCTATGGCGAAAGCAGCAGGTAATTTATGTTTTCCATCTATATGATCTAAATATCAATATCATAAGAGAAAATGTAAATTGTTCATATCAATACATGATAATGTTTACACTACAGTGATGATAACTTGATTTAATTACTACATGCAGATTTAATATAACAAATGTAATAAAGTTTTCCAATAAACCATTATGATTCAGGATTGACAGATGGAGGACCACAAGCCAAAAGGTTGACCAACCATAGTGCACGAAAATATGTTGTCCAAAAGTTGTGTGATGCTGGTGTTCCTAGCAACCAAGTGATGCAGGTTAGGAGCTTCACTAAATGCTAAATCGATGAATATTCAAAGTTAAATAATCAAATTTCATGTTTGAAAACTTGTAAAGATCTGTGCAACTTCTTTATGTCAACATGATACAAAGACAATACTTATAACTAAATTTTAGGAATGAAATTGACATACCCCATATCTCATAAATATGTATTATTTATTAAGCTTATTGATTGCAGATATCTGGCCACAAGAATGTGCAAAGTCTAAATGACTACAGTTCACTGAACAGCAACCAGCATAGAACTATATCTAAGATTATTGGTGGACAAACAAAAAGACCCAAAAGCACACAAGGTCCTGTGAGCCCCATACCAGATCCTGTGAGCACCATGGTGTCCAGCCAGATGTCCAGAACAAGTTCTGAGCAGAGGGAGAGCCACACAGTCTATGTCTCCAGGGGTGTAGATCCCGTGCAGGGAATGTTTAACAATATATATGGGGGCACATACAACATCACAGTTAATTATTTTCAGAATCAACAGTATTAAAGACAAGGTATTAAATGTTGTAAATATTTGATTACTGTTGAAATGATATTTTATTGTTTACATATATCCTATGTCTTTATGTTTCACACACAATAAACTATTGTGCTTGTCAAATTCATTGTTTCTTGTCATTCTCAAATGTGTGAAAATTAGACAACTCATTTAGTAACATGTTTGGTGTTATGATGGTAAATAGTATGTTCAAAAGTCAAATATTGAATTATTCACTGTAAAATTAGTTTAAAGAGCAAAATTCGTTTACAAATATTTCAATTCTTTCTTTGAGTTGAGAAGATTCACCTGGCAGTAATCAGCTGATCAGTTGCCTGAGTTGGTATTTATAGAATCTAGTCTGATCAATCCTGCTGACAGTTCCTTGAGCCCTTGTTTTTCGTTATCAATATTTTACAACAAAAAAAACAAATTCATTTCCTCTTATTTGGGTTTATAACATTAGTTTCCAGCGGACAAATAAACGTATGACTTGTTTACATACACTCAAAGGTGGACCTATTTAGTGTTGCGCATTGAGACTGATAGTCGCGACGAGATGAATACAAATAGTTATTGGCCGGGTAATCCAAAACCTTTTATAGATATCAACTCACATTAATAATTCTCAAAACGTTACTCCTATCATTTTTTAATAGTTAACAAAGCCCGTAACATGAATGCGAACAAGTGCCTTGCCTGTCACGGGAAGACTCCTGTGGGTTGTCGTCGCTAGAGCCTATTTACTTGTTTTCGGTGCAGTTGTATTACTGGGCATATTTGAAAACGAGGCTCGGGGGAAACACAGGAAACACAGGAAATCATCAACTACGAGCTCGACATTTTATGGCGTATTGTTATGGGAGAAAAAGGATAAAGCCTCGTTCTAATCGTGGCAGATTAATCACTCGTGTGTAGATTTTTCGGTAACAACCGAACACAGTGGTTAATCCTATATATATATATATATATATATATATATATATATATATATATATATATATATATATATATATAATATATAAACAAACAAACAAACACCCGACTCATAAAAATAATAACACAAATCATTCGCAAATTCAATCATTTACTAAGCTGAACAATTCAATTTTTAAGAAAACAAACAACCATATGTTGGATGATTTAAGTAGGAGAGATTTTTCAAGGATTGACGAGCAGAAACTAACTGTGTAAACATTTCTTACATACACGTGTTTGTACATGAAGTTTGAACTGTGTACTTTAATAATCTAAGCTGAGACATATAAGTATTGCACATACATTTCCGTTTATATGAATGAAGTGTTGTTTCGAATTGTTTAAACCTAACAAACAGAATGTAACCTGCGAAACAAGTTAAGCACCTTGCTGTCTTTGATGTCATATGGCTCGAACATTGTCACATGTGACACTGATCTCACTTTGATAAATAGGCACTTATACCGGACACCTTCCGCCATCTTGGCAAAGGTCGTACGCGAGCTCTTTCATTAGTAACGGTTTCAAAGTTTTTCAGACGCCATTTTTGTCGCCTCGCTAACACAACAGTGGGTTTGTGTAGGTTGGTTGTTTTGTTTTGTTTTTTTTGTTGGTTTTTTTTTTGGGGGGGGGGGTCTTTTTGTTTGTTGTTGTTGTTGTTTTTTGGGGGTGTTTATTTATTTATTTATTTTTGTTTGTTTTTGTTTTGTTGTTGTTGTTGTTGGGTTTGTTTTGTTTTGTTTTTGTTTTGTTTTTTTTGGGGGGGGCTTGCCCCCCCCACTCAACGGCTTTTACCAAATGCTTTCGTAAGTAAATGTTATGTTTAAGTACCAAAGTAGATACAAAATACAACGTGACGCTGATATGTGGTTCCGACGGATGTAACTAATGAGGCTGCTCACGCCATTATGGAACTTCCACTTTCAAGTACTCTTTCGATGTTGATCTCCAATTTTCGACATTTGTGCAATGTTTGATATACAATTTCAAGGTATAATCATATTAAACCATACAAATGCATGAGGGGGCCATGCGGGCGGATAAGTGTCCTCGATACACGACTGATACTGCGTGGACTGATGATACAAGGACAATATGTTCTTCCAAATGGTCACAAGGACATGGTCATTTCATAGGATACAAAGAAGAAGATGAGGCCATTGAAAGGGTAGTGAAATAAGCATTGCCCTTAAACAAAGTATTGAAGTTAGGCAATCGATTTTCTTTTTCTGAGTATGTCACTTTATAAACAAACATAAATGGGTTTTGTCATAAGAAAAGAATGTCCATTGCGTATGGAAATATAGAGTAAGCAGAGCTTAACATTTTTCAGGTGCATTTATCACATATTTTGGAACTGACGAAACAACATTAAGATACGCGGCAGATGCTACACTGACGATTCACGTGATAACGAATAGATATACTACACAACTTTCGATTGGTATACTGAGATATGTGATCCTATTTACACATCCAAATTAGAAGTAATCATATCGGCGAGTCATGGAATAATATGAAGAATATCCTAATGTTTAGCAATATAACAAACCACAACACTGAAATGTTTGCTTCTTTTAAACCTTCATATAGTCTGTGTATAACATAACGAGCCAATGTGTGTAGTCGAACTATTAAACCATCTGATGTCGCACATGGACCAAATGACATGATGATCTTGAAAAACATATTTTTTGACATTTCTTTCTTGTATCTTGTAAAATAGAAATTTGTTTATGAAAAACATGGTCATACGTTTCTGAACATATATACCCTTATCTGTAATATGTATGATACATAAGAAAAAAATGTAATCCCGTTTTATAGAAATATTGTTTTTGTCTTTTTAATAGGTGTGCATTTGGATGGTAACTCAATGTAAAATACATTCAATATTGAACAAGTATCAGACATATAGTCCTGTAAAAATGTTAAGAACCGCTTTCTATATCCATGTGTTTCCATATTTCCATATAAACAGTTTTTCACTTAAAATCGTATCCCGTTTATATTTCATGACAATTCATATTTCTTTGATGAGATTTTCATATTGAAATACATAAACCGAAATCAATCATCTAATTACCTGTTTTGTAACTGGTCAGAGGCAAAGTTACCCTTTCAACTCTTACTTTGTTTCCTTGTATTATACCATATCAGCCAGTACACGCGACCATCTCGGGAAACATACAGTGTTGATGTCTTAACTACCCAGGAGAAAGACAAATTGTTCGTCAAAAGGCCAAATGAAACTACTGACAGAAATTGTTTCAAAGAAATTTCAAGAAATGATTAAGTGTTCAAACAGTCAAACAAAACATGGTTCAACTATGAACATATCAATATGTAGCATGCACAATTTACACACAGTTCAGGAAACTAATCAGGTCAGGTTTGTTACCAATATGTAATTAAGTTTGGTTCAATGTGGCGATTGTGGTAAATGTAACAAATGAGAAGACAATTGGTCTCTGGAATCAAATGGAGAAGAATATATACTCTTTTCTATGGAAACTTTACTTCACGGATTATTCATAATCAATATACGATCAATCAAAACTGTGTTTATTATATATTATATTAAAAACTGAACAAAAACACTGTAACTGTGATTGTCATAATTCACAAAACTAAAGATACTTTAAAAGGTAGGAAAACTTGAAAAAACTATATATATTTGGCAATACAGTACTTTGATCATAGAGCTGACACATATTACAAGAAGTAAAACAAAGCACAAACCAGAGTAGATAACAAGAAAAATAGCAACAGTACACCTGGTATTGCTGGTGAAATGACGAACAATCAACAACGTGTGGCAAGTTGTTTAGGTGTTTTTCCTTTGAGAAGGAAGTGACATTTCAAAAAATCAACATAAACATTGCAATAAAAGCAACAAAACGTTTCCATAATCACAAGCAATCTCCGCTAAAAGAAGAATCCATTGTATCGTTCCTGCTATATCATGATAAGGTCACAGTCAGTACATGATGAGTGTAGAATAGGTACAAGGTGGGTGCATCTACATGACGGATAAACAATTCCTATATATACGGTTGCGTATAATGTGTTGCCTTCCTTGTAATTCTGTTTTTCTTCGCGCTTTCATCTAAAATGACGTTTAAGGGAAGACTGCATATTTAAATGACATTTTTCTGTTTGTCATCAATGGAATTTTTCTGTTCGTCCTTAATAGAATGTTTTGTTCGTCATCAATGGGATTTTTCTGTTCGTCATCAATAGAATTTTTTGTTCGTCATCAATGGAATTTTTCTGTTCGTCATCAATGGATGTTTTCTGGGGCGCGTTGGAAGCCACAAATCGCTTAGAGTAAGCAATACATCGCTAATTCCGGGGTCTGAAACAGCATGAAGAGCTTGCACACTCTGCCAAAATGGTGGCGCAACTAGTGCTTGGTTGCCTTTTTCCTAATGAAGAAAGTAATAGAAGCGGTTCGATGACGAACTGATGAGGTTATGTAGCTGACTGGGAAAATGATGGGGTGTTAGCTGCCTTTGCCCCTCTCTCAGTAGATCCAGTCAAAAGTTTCTTGTTCCGCTGTTGAACTCAACCGCCATTTTGGTTTGAGAACGAAGCGACCTCAGCCAGCGAATGGAACGACTGCAAGCGCCTGAAAGTAAGCGCCCCGTTGTAAGGCGAATCGATGTACATTGCTTGCAAGCGACTGGCGCTTTCCAACGCAACCATGTTCGTCATCAATTGGGTTTTTCTGTTCGTCATCAATTGGGTTTTTCTGTTCGTCATCAATGGAATTTTCCTGTTCGTCATAAACAATACAGATTCACGTTTCACGGATGCAAACTCTGACATGAGTCACTGGTAAAACATTTTGAAATACATGAATACGGACGCGAGATTCATAAAACCAGTACATGCACACTCAGTATCTCTTTGTTATCAACAAATAACAGTTGGCGTCATAACCATTATGACGATTTTACACACAAGTTCGTTTAGTAATTTGAACGCATTCTGTATTGTCATTCTGATGAAATTGATGAAATACATGCATCTGAAACTGCCGTTGTGCCCCTGGCGACTGTTATAATGTTGTTGCTAGGCAACTGTTTGTAGAACTGTTTGTGGAAAAGTATATTAAGGTCCAAAAGACACGAAAAACTCTAAAAGTTGTCTGCAGAGAACGGCAATGGAAGTTACACCGTATAATGGTACGGTCATAATATTCAGGTATGAAGAAAGGGGACATTGCATGGTACAATCGAAAAGTTTACAACTTAGCTTATGTTGCAATTCTACATAAGTTCATACATATATATAAAAATATTATGCACAAAAGTATCACAGTTAGTGCGAGAGAGGTGCATACTATAAATAACAAGATACTTCAAAGTTTCAGTTTTCACTGTAGCAAATGTACACATTCCTGGGGTAAAGTCTTTTCAAGATTCATGCATTATGTGGAGGTCGTGTTTCTGTGTAAAAATAGGTACTAAGCATCTGGAAGAACACGTTTAAGTTAATTAACATGGTTTTAGCATTTGAAATTTTGATACGCGAGTAAAAAAGGAAAGAAAAATGTCTTTCTTACTGATGTTACATTGTTGACAGATCCAACAATAACGGACAAGCGTATAGATAAATACAGTAATTGCATATACCAGAACAGACAAATTAAATGAATAATAATGTGAGGTTTAGTTGGCTAAATATGATTAATCTCCACGTTTTAATGGATGATACACATATTCACAGATACAAATAGGAATGAAATCTAGGCAATACCAGCCAGAGAATAAAATTGACATTCCATGAAAGTAAAACTGTCCAAATTAGAGCATTCATATCAACCACATATGTACATTAAACAGGTAGTATCAGTAATAGAACCAACATCAAAATAAACAACAACAATAAAATAATAAACAAGATATAATATACACATGCATTTACAGCCTTAATCAATTAATCAAGTCTTCCAACCATCGCACGCTTCCTGGAAGCAAGGTGTACCATTTCAACATGTGAATTTTACATGGATCCATCACTTATGTCTACAAGATCACTATGTCAAGTACTAAATATGTAATCACGCTGATCAGCGAAGGACCTTCCTTTGGCACGATTACGTTAGACTGGACACCCAAGTAAATCCATTTACTAGTACCATGTCGAATTGGATCTAATCTACCTTTCAGATTGCTGAACAGACACCATCAAACGTTTTGCAGAAAGATCGAAACAGGACATGAAACATATTAAGATGCACTATCTCATATGAACCACATATCACATACAGCTAAATCTCGTACCAGCAATACAGGCATTGGGATGTTCCTCTTGTGTTGCCTCTTCCAGCTATCGTTACAGCTGGTTCTGATAATATGACATAGCATTATTCATTGTCATTTCTGTCTGATAACAATTGAAATATTTCCTTGAAGCTGTCACCCTGTCTGTCCGTCACAAGCACTACACGTGTGATCGGACTTAACCTCTTCCTGTGCAGTTTGCTTCTCTCAGGTTTCTGATGCCAGTGGGAGAAAGCTCCAGCTCCTTCTGCTCAAGTCTTTTTGTGCCTGGGCATGGTGAACTCTCCGTAGATGTTACTGTGGATAGGATAAAATGCAAATAGTGAGACGCTGATTGCGTTTAGGTTATGGTGAGGTATAAGCTGTATACCCCATGAGCGAGTGAGTGAGTTGGCTTTTACGCCGATTCTGAACAGCATTTAAGTTATATACGTCAGCATGATGTGGATGGCAAGGTCGAGGTTATAGATGTTTACCACCTTGGTGAAACCTACCAGCTCGGCATGATACCGACTAACATAGAAACACGTTAAGTGTGAATCTAAGATTCGCTCCCACTGTCATACGTTTTGGCTCGCCTAATGGACGCAATGATTCTGTACACTTCTTATAACCTAAAAAAGAAGGGATGGGAGGGAGAATCTGGCAGAATGACATCTGATAAATTTTATTACAATCGTCACCTATCCTCGAGGATATGTCTCTGTCACTTCTACACATGTCAACTGTGATGGTGTAACGATTAATGTTTCTTGGTAAAAAGGCTTCCAGCTGGGGAAAGAATATTCATATGGGAAAATATTCCAGGGTAAGTAAAATACTAGAAATAAAATCCTTTGCAAACATTTCCACTGGAAACTTTTACCTAGGATATTACTTCTTTAAAAAAGATAAATATTCTGTAACAATGACACCTCACGATGTTATCACATCTGTCACCTGGATGTCACTGTCGTCATTAAACATGCCACCAGAAATGATACCTAACGATGTAATCACACCTGTCACCTGGATGTCACTATCATCATTGAACATGTCTTCCGAGATGACACCTCTCAATGTAATCACACCTGTCACCTTGATGTCACTGTGTCATTGAACATGTCTTCCGAGATGACATCTCTCAATGTAATCACACCTGCCTCTGTCGTCATTAAACATGTCACCTGAGATGACAACTTTTAATGTAATCACACCTGTCACCTGGTTGTCACTGTCGTCATTAGACACGTCACCCGAGATGACATCTCAGGATGTTATCACACCTGTCACCTGGATGTCACTGTGTCATTGAACATGTCTTCCGAGATGACACCTCTCAATGTTATCACACCTGTCACCTGGATGTCAATGTGTCATTAAACATGTCATCCGAGAAGACACCTCAGGATGTTATCACACCTGTCACCTGGATGTCACTGTGTCATTGAACATGTCTTCCGAGATGACACCTCTCAATGTAATCACACCTGTCACCTGGATGTCACTGTCGTCATTAAACATGTCCCCCGAGAAGACACCTCAGGATGTTATCACACCTGTCACCTGGATGTCACTGTGTCATTGAACATGTCTTCCGAGATGACATCTCTAAATGTTATCACACCTGTCACCTGGTTGTCACTGTCGTCATTAAACATGTCCCCCGAGAAGACACCTCAGGATGTTATCACACCTGTCACCTGGATGTCACTGTGTCATTGAACATGTCTTCCGAGATGACACCTCTCAATGTTATCACACCTGTCACCTGGATGTCACTGTGTCATTGAACATGTCTTCCGAGATGACATCTCTCAATGTAATCACACCTGTCTCTGTCGTCATTAAACATGTCACCCTAGATGACATCTCTCAATGTTATCACACCTGTCACCTTGATGTCACTGTCGTCATTAAACATGTCTTACGAGATGACACCTCAGGATGTTATCACACCTGTCACCTGGATGTCACTGTGTCATTGAACATGTCTTCCGAGATGACATCTCTCAATGTAATCACACCTGTCTCTGACGTCATTAAACATGTCACCCGAGATGACATCTCAGGATGTTATCACACCTGTCACCTGCATGTCACTGTGTCATTGAACATGTCACCCGAGATGACATCTCTCAATGTAATCAAACCTGTCTCTGTCGTCATTAAACATGTCACCTGAGATGACACCTCAGGATGTTATCACACCTGTCACCTGGATGTCACTGTCGTCATTAAACATGTAACCCGAGATGACACCTCAGGATGTTATCACACCTGTCACCTGGATGTCACTGTGTCATTGAACATGTCTTCCGAGATGACACCTCACGATGTAATCACACCTGTCACCTGGATGTCACTGTGTCATTAAACATGTCATCCGAGATGACACCTCAGGATGTTATCACACCTGTCACCTGGATGTCACTGTGTCATTAAACATGTCATCCGAGGTGACATCTCTAAATGTTATCACACCTGTCACCTGGATGTCACTGTGTCATTGAACATGTCTTCCGAGATGACACCTCACGATGTAATCACACCTGTCACCTGGATGTCACTGTCGTCATTAAACATGCCACCAGAAATGATACCTTACGATGTAATCACACCTGTCACCTGGATGTCACTATCATCATTGAACATGTCTTCCGAGATGACACCTCTCAATGTAATCACACCTGTCACCTGGATGTCACTGTGTCATTGAACATGTCTTCCGAGATGACATCTCTCAATGTAATCACACCTGCCTCTGTCGTCATTAAACATGTCACCTGAGATGACAACTTTTAATGTAATCACACCTGTCACCTGGATGTCACTGTCGTCATTAAACATGTCACCCGAGATGACACCTCAGGATGTTATCACACCTGTCACCTGGATGTCACTGTGTCATTGAAAATGTCTTCCGAGATGACATCTCTCAATGTTATCACACCTGTCACCTGGATGTCACTGTCGTCATTAAACATGTAACCCGAGATGACACCTCAGGATGTTATCACACCTGTCACCTGGATGTCACTGTGTCATTGAACATGTCTTCCGAGATGACATCTCTCAATGTTATCACACCTGTCACCTGGATGTCACTGTCGTCATTAAACATGTCACCCGAGATGACACCTCAGGATGTTATCACACCTGTCACCTGGATGTCACTGTGTCATTGAAAATGTCTTCCGAGATGACATCTCTCAATGTTATCACACCTGTCACCTGGATGTCACTGTCGTCATTAAACATGTCACCCGAGATGACACCTCAGGATGTTATCACACCTGTCACCTGGATGTCACTGTGTCATTGAACATGTCTTCCGAGATGACACCTCACGATGTAATCACACCTGTCACCTGGATGTCACTGTCGTCATTAAACATGCCACCAGAAATGATACCTTACGATGTAATCACACCTGTCACCTGGATGTCACTATCATCATTGAACATGTCTTCCGAGATGACACCTCTCAATGTAATCACACCTGTCACCTGGATGTCACTGTGTCATTGAACATGTCTTCCGAGATGACACCTCACGATGTAATCACACCTGTCACCTGGATGTCACTGTCGTCATTAAACATGCCACCAGAAATGATACCTTACGATGTAATCACACCTGTCACCTGGATGTCACTATCATCATTGAACATGTCTTCCGAGATGACACCTCTCAATGTAATCACACCTGTCACCTGGATGTCACTGTGTCATTGAACATGTCTTCCGAGATGACATCTCTCAATGTAATCACACCTGCCTCTGTCGTCATTAAACATGTCACCTGAGATGACAACTTTTAATGTAATCACACCTGTCACCTGGATGTCACTGTCGTCATTAAACATGTCACCCGAGATGACACCTCAGGATGTTATCACACCTGTCACCTGGATGTCACTGTGTCATTGAAAATGTCTTCCGAGATGACATCTCTCAATGTTATCACACCTGTCACCTGGATGTCACTGTCGTCATTAAACATGTAACCCGAGATGACACCTCAGGATGTTATCACACCTGTCACCTGGATGTCACTGTGTCATTGAACATGTCTTCCGAGATGACATCTCTCAATGTTATCACACCTGTCACCTGGATGTCACTGTCGTCATTAAACATGTCACCCGAGATGACACCTCAGGATGTTATCACACCTGTCACCTGGATGTCACTGTGTCATTGAAAATGTCTTCCGAGATGACATCTCTCAATGTTATCACACCTGTCACCTGGATGTCACTGTCGTCATTAAACATGTCACCCGAGATGACACCTCAGGATGTTATCACACCTGTCACCTGGATGTCACTGTGTCATTGAACATGTCACCCGAGATGACACCTCTCAATGTTATCACACCTGTCACCTGGATGTCACTGTCGTCATTAAACATGTCACCCGAGATGACACCTCAGGATGTTATCACACCTGTCACCTGGATGTCACTGTGTCATTGAACATGTCTCCTGAGATGACATCTCTCAATGTTATCACACCTGTCACCTGGATGTCACTGTCGTCATTAATGATGCCACACGAGATGACACCTCACAATGTAATCACACCTGTCACCTGAATGTCACTGTGTCATTGAACATGTCTTCCGAGATGACACCTCACGATGTAATCACACCTGTCACCTGAATGTCACTGTGTCATTGAACATGTCTTCCGAGATGACACCTCACGATGTAATCACACCTGTCACCTGGATGTCACTGTCGTCATTAAACATGCCACCCGAGATGACATCTCACAATGTAATCACACCTGTCACCTGGATGTCACTGTCGTCATTAAACATGCCACCCGAGATGACATCTCACAATGTTATCACACCTGCCACCTGGATGTCACTATCATCATTGAACATGTCTTCCGAGATGACATCTCTCAATGTAATCACATCTGTCTCTGTCGTCATTAAACATGTCACCCGAGATGACACCTCACGATGTTATCACACCTGTCTCTGTCGTCATTAAACATGTCGCCCGAGATGACATCTCTCAATGTAATCACACCTGTCTCTGTCGTCATTAAACATGTCATCCGAGATGACATCTCTCAATGTCATCACACCTGTCACCTGGATCATGTTCAATACACCTGCCACCTAGACGTTACTGTTACACCTGTACATGTAATGGCATCTAACATGGAAGAATGATAATAAAATATAGAAGTTTTTATATCATATAAAGGACTAAAGTAACGAAGTGACATCTAATGAGCATACTGTACTGAATCTAATCAGTCAGGTAAACGTTGCCATTATTTAGGACATATAATGGCATGACAGTGACATTTCCAGGTAACGGGTATTGAGCTCGTTGTGGACAATCAGAAGTCTTTCCGCCAGACATCCCCTCACCCTCCAACCCTTACCAAAAACTGACATGGAAACGAACCAATAAAACAATCACAAAACACACAAAAACACAACATATATTTACAAGCACTAAAGACACTTTAATAAAATATCTTACTGCTGTGCCCTGTTAAGCGTGATTGAACGTATTTTAAATAAATTAAATAAGTTGATGAGTTTGGAACTTCAGTGTAAACCGTTTTGAACAGAATTACAGTTAATTAAAAGTGACAAAACCCTTCCCATAACTTGCTACTTAATTGTGGACGAATGCCCCAAATGTCACAAGTACATGGGTTCATGTATGCTGCTGGTAAAGCAAGGGTCATAATGGGAGGTAATGTGGGATTCGAACCTTCGACCAGGGGATCATGTCACAGTTAGTGAACACACCACTACACAGTGGCAAAACCACCCATGCACCCAACCAGTAAATTTGAATATGAGTTATGTCAAAAATGCTTTTAAATATGCACACTTGATCAGATACAAACCGAATTGTTTAATAGGCATTACTTAGAAACTGACGGTTGACAAAGTAGACACAATTTATGGATAACATCTTCTTTAACACTGTAAAAAAACCACGTTTCGGTATAGATCCTTATACCGTTGTCAGGCAAGACTGAATGAGGGACATTGTACAGAATATATACAGTAGGTGGAGGATTAAGTCATCTCTTCCGTACTCCATCCCACACCCAGATCTGCGACCCTTAAACCCGAATCAGCGCCCTTCCGCATCGCCCTCTCTTACATAGGAAAAGCCTCCCACATCACCAGCCGCCTCCTCAAACAGCAAGCCCATATTGACACCCACTACACAAGCTCCAACTCCCTCAATACCCCGCTAAGAGCCAACGGCAGGTGCACAACCAAACCCCAAGAGCCTGAAGGTGTAGTTTACAAAATTGACTGCAACTGTGGACAATCTTACGTAGGTGAAACATCCCGCCCCATCAACACCAGAATCAAAGAGCACAAAACCTCAACCATCCAATCAGACAGTAAATCAGCCATCTCGGACCACATCGTCCTAATCGCAACATCAACTGGGACAACGTCCAAATCCTCTCCAACACCCTCCATGATTTCACTTCACGAAAACTAACTGAAACAGACCACATTCGCCGCCACAAGCCATGAATCAACAGAGATCTAGGCTATTTCATCCTATCCGCCTACAATGAACACATTAAGCAATAATCACTTATCCTGTTCAATTGGCTTCATGTCACATCGGCTTCCATCCATCTGTTCTCTGTCCATCATGTTGTGACAGTATTCTCTTTCTGTTTTCATTACTTACTCATGGTATCCCACTCATGTATGCAATTGTTGTTACTGTTAATCCTCCACCCACTATATATATATATTCTGTACAATGTCCCTCATTCAGTCTTGCTTGACAACGGTATAAGGGTCTATACAGAAAAGTCGCCTTTACAATATTAAAAAAGTTGTTATCCATAAATTGTGTTTACTTTGTCACATACAAACCTTCCAACTATGTCATGCTTTCCAATAATATTTTTTAATGCACTATCATGCACGATAAAGTTTCATTGGGTGGCTATTTTTAGCGTCGCGTCATTCGATCTAGGCTCGAAAGGAAGCTATGGTAGAACATGGGTCTGTGAATAGGTGAGGTGAAATGGGGTTTAACGGCGCGTCCAAGATTATTGCACTTATATAGCGACGTGCATGCACGTGTGTGTGTGCGTGGCTGCTTGTACTAGTCCGGACTGATGCCGATTTATAGTGCTAGCCCACTGAGATACCATGCCACAGTTTTAACGTCTTTTGGTATGACGCGGCCGGGGATCGAACCCCGGAACTTCCGCTCTCCGGGCGGACGCTCTACCACTAGACTACGGAGGCGGTCTGGGTCTGTGAATATATCATCAAGAATGGATATACAATATATTGGATAATCGAAGATGGTAACTGTGTAGCTAGTGAGGTGAGGTGAGGTCGAGTCCAAGATTGTTGCACTTATATAGTGACGTTCCATGCACGTGTATGTGTGTGGCTGCTTGTTCTAGTCCGGATTGATGCCGATGTTATAGTGCTAGCCCACTGAGATACCATGTCGCAGTTTGACATGAATACCCCACTCAGACACAGTATACTGACTCCGAGCTGACCAGTGCTTGTTTTAGCCCTTTCATGCCGAGCGCAAGACAGGGTAACACCAAGTACCATCGTTTAACATCTTTTGGTATGACGAGTCGAGGGATCGAACCCACGACAATCCGCTCTCCGTGCAGACGCTCTACTACTAAACCACGGTGACGGTACGTGCAGCAAGGTGTTGCATGCATGTATGTGGATATCACTTTTCAAACAAAGTGGCATAATGCTGAGCCTTGTTACATCTAGAACATTCAACAATAAAATCAGCCATTGCACTTATTGTATATTCATAGTGACCATGGTGAGTAAGTGCATATCAATTCAAACCAGGCATCCTTTTGTGTACAGTGTACATCTTCACTGACCTTGAGGTCTTTCGTAAGAGCCAATTAATACAATTTCGAAATAGAACTTGTACCACTTGTTTACATGCTGTACAGGGCAACCAATAAAACAATTTTAACCAAGGAACCAATATGGTACAGTAAACTACGGTTATAACGAACACGCTTATAACGAACTGACGGATATAACGAACTTACTTTTTTTGGTCTTTATTTGCTGTAGTTATGCTGTATATATGCTTATAACGAACTACGGTTATAACGAACTAAAAAAGTAGTCCCTTTGAGTTCGTTATAACCGTACTTTACTGTAGCATTAATGTTGGGAAGGACATCAGAGTTTGTGAATATAAAGCTGCCTATTGCACCAAACTGTGAGTACAAGTCACGATTATTGAATACGTTTCAAATGCATTTATATTTTCATCTGAAACGGCCAATTCTAAAATGGCTAAAACAAGCGCAGCGGTCAACAGGTTGCGGGCATTGGATATGCCATCATGGTTTGGTCACACAAATATATGAGTGGTATAGGAAAGCAGGTGTAACATCAAGCACATGCTGGTGGTGTGGACGCTAGATTCTTCTTCCCTATAATACCTATTCTTCTTCTTCTCCTCGAGAGACTCAAGAATCTTCTTCTCCGTGTCCATCAGTTTCCGCACCTTCTGTGGGTCACGGTTCAAACTAGCCAGTGTCTGGTACATGTTCCTCACTTCTTCAGCAATGCGTGACAGACTTTCGTTCTTCCAATAATGTTGTATGTTATTAACGGATTTGGGGACATGGGCTACATTTTCCTGTTATGTTACCATTCTTCTATTCTAGCATGACTCCAAACATTAACATGTATGTCTATTCAATCTCAAAGATAGTACAGGAATAAATATTGAAACGAAGTTACTAGTTTCACTATTTCCTGTAACTATCACATTAAATATAGCAAAACTGAAAACAATGACAACATGTATGTCTATTGAATCCCATAGGTTATACATGAATACATATTGAAACAGAGTTACTAGTTTCACTCATTCCCGTGACTATCACATTACATTACTCAAAACTGAAAACAATGATAACATGTATGTCTATTCTACCGTGACGAAAATAAGGCTAAATATATAATCTGTGGTAAAGAAGGTAAAGTACGTTGTGGCTTTTATGACGCCCATCATTAATACTTCACGGTCTTGAATATACAACGTTCTTCCACTATATTGTCATTTGTCTGCTTGTTGTTGTTTTTTACAGAACTTAACATGAATTCATTGATTGATGGTTCATTTGAGACTAATGTAATACTATACCTACATAATGATCAAATCAACAGATAAATATTTGCTATTTATATGTATCGTCAGATACAATGTAGCTGCATTATTGCTGGGCAGGGGCGGTCGGGTAGCCTAGTGGTTTAAGCGTTCGCTCGTCACGCCGAAGACCCGGGTTCGATTCCCGACATTGGTACAATGTGTGAAACCCATTTCTGGTGTCCCCCGCCGTGATATTGCTGGAATATTGCTAAAAGCGGCGAAAAACCATACTCACTATTGCTTGGCAAGTTAAAAAATATACTACCAAATGTAACTCCCTCTAATATCAAACAATGGTGAAAACTGTGCACAAGTTACCTCTGTGTCGTTGATGGCAAGATGTATGAGAAGGGAGGACAACGGTAGGTTCTCACTGGAGGCGTTCTGTAAAGGCACACTGCGAAAACCTGGAGGTAAGACAGTGAGTGAGTGTTTTGTTTGTTTGTTTGTTTTGCGCTGTGTTTAACGTTCTACTTGGCAATATCCTAGCTACATAACGGCAGCGTGTCACTAATCTTGTCCTGACCAAACAAACCAGTGATTGTTTGTTTGTTGTTTAACGCCGCACTCAGCAATATTCCAACTATATGACGGCGATCTGTAAATAATCGAGTGAGGACCAGACACTCCAGTGATTGACATCATGAGCATCGATCCACGCAATTGCGATACGATGACATGTATCAAACCAAGTCAGCGAGCCTGACCACCCGATTCCGTTAGTCGCCAAACCAGTGATTGATATTTTGAAAAACGATCCACGTACATGGGGTACAGTGACACTAAATTGACCAAGTTATCAAGCCTGACCATTTATCGTATCTTGCATTAAGGTACTAGAAATAATTTAAGCGAAAGTAACCGAGCAAAGCTAATTGTAATGCAAGGGGGAATTGTAATGCTGGGTGTGTTTACGTCATCTAGTTGTGAAGATGTTCATAAAAAGGTCCCCTTGCCATACTATACTGGCGAAGATATTTTAGATAAAAGGACGAAAATGATACCAGTAGGACACTTACATTTGCCGCTCTCAGCAATATTCCAGCTACATGACGGCGGTCTGTAAATAATCGAGTCTGGACCCGACGCTCCAATTATTGACAGCATGAGCATAGATCCACGCAATTGGGATGGATATGCATCAACCTGTCTCCGAGCCTGACCACCCGATCCCATTCGTTGCTTCTTCCGACAAGCATGGGCTGCTGAGGACCAATTCTTAACCGGATCTTCACGGTGTGTGTCTCTGAGAGGAACCGTTTCTTACCTGCCCTGAGAGCTAACACTGGGATCGTAGCTTGTGCAAGAACCTTCTGGTCAATCACCTCGTTGTCTGAACACAACTCAAACCTCAGCAAGGCCATTGGTGGGCACACAATGTCAAGGACGTGAGTTTCATCCTCCCATACTGGCGTCAGGCCGTTGTTTACTTAAATGAAATAATAAAACAGAAATAATAAAGTAAACATAACTGTATTAATGATGGATGCGGGTTAAACAAGAGATCATATGATGTTATATATTCATGATTCACGCTTTACAGCTGAGAGTTATGTCCCTTTGCGTGCTAGGGATCGCTGACTGTAGGTTCCAATTTTATCACGTTACCTACGCACAATATATGTCATATGTAAACACATAAACATGATAAACACGTTTTTACCTGATTTTGATTTCTTCAAGTCTCAAAATGGACAAAGATGTTATGTATACACTCTACCGATTTCATCAGCAAACCTAAATGGATACTTGCGGCCCTGTAGTAAAAGGCATAGAGTTGTGTCCCCTATCGGTTGCAGGTTCCGCTTACCATGGACTTAAGTCCCCTCTTCCTAATAATGATCATAGTCTATCCACAATATATCCATGTTCGGGTTTTCATTATTATTTTACTTACACAATAGTGAGTGAGTGAGTATGGTTTTACGCCGCTTTTAGCAATATTCCAGCAATATCACGGCGGGGGACACCAGAAATGGGCTTCAAACATTGTACCCATGTCGGGAATCGAACCCGGGTCTTCGGTGTGACGAGCGAACGCTTTAACCACTAGGCTATCCGACCACTCCTTACTTACACAATAAAAAGGCACTGGACGTTTGCCCTACCTTCTCGTAGACCGGTCCTGATTCTCTTGTTGTCTATAGGGATTCCCATCACTTCCATCCCAATGAAGGGTCTCAGACAAGCTCCGACCGTTAACAGTCTGCCGCAGTGTATCTGGAAATACATTTAGACATATGCGAGTGTTGCTTTATGCCACGGTCCAGAGATCTTAAATCCAGTTTCCATCCTTGTCGAAATAGGCTGGAATTATGGAGTTATATTTTGGCTGGTCTAAAAAATCAAGAAACGAACTGAACATCCGGTTCGTAAACAACATGGATTTCAACGTTCAGGACTTGCCTACTAGGCGTCGACAGATATTTTCCAAATCTTTTCATGTTTTTAATCAAGGTGCTCCAGTGATTTGATGCACTTCGCGAAGTAAGCCCAGCTTTATTACAATATAGATCTTCATTATCGATCAGATCAGATCGTCTTGACTGGGCGCAGCCATTTTGTTTGAGCAAATGCACCTGTTATGAGAGGTTAATAGGATCACCCACACCCTCTTTGCTGCATTTAAAAAAAAAAAAATTAATCTGTAAATAATAATAATAATAATAATAATAATAATAATAATAATAATGATGATGATGCACCAACTGATATGTCGAATCGAAAGTTGCGCTTCACCTTGATTTAATTATGTTGGTAGACCCCACTTACTGTTATAGTCAAGCTGAGTTTCGGGACTGTGGACAGGGTCCTCAAATCAAAGGGGTTGAAGTAAGCCTCCCTCATACACGGGGGCTTCAACACGTATCCACACCTGCAGTGTAAGAGTTGAAGTCGGTCAGTGAGTGTTTAAGTGGGTGAGTGAAATTGGTCAAACGCTGCTTTGAACACTATTTCAATTTTTATCACGGATGTCCGCTTGGTATGGGTGGAAAACCAGAATCCATGTAGGTCTTAGACGTTTACCACTTTGGTAAAACCCACAAGAAGGGGTTGGCTCTGTGAAGCTTAAAAACATAATCAGCGCGAACCGAAAATCGTACCCACGATCATAGGTTTCTGACACGTCTAAGGGAAGCAACTCTGCACATCGAATTGTAGCACCTAAGACGGACAAGGTCACCCATGCCTGTCGTTTCTACAAAACCAATGAGAAAGCGGCGTGTTCGGTTCCAAATTCAATTTAGCGGGGTTAAATCTACAGGTAACCTAGCTCTACATTGAAAACACAGTATGTTTATCTCCTAATTGTTCAGAACATTCACGAAAATTATCTTTTTTCACAATCTTTTCTGCAACAAATTATTATTTTTAAAACAGGCGAAGAAATTGAATTAAAGAATTGTCCGAGAAATTGCATTATGTTTTAGAATTCACAATGTCTCGGGTAGCATGAATGTCTTCAGTTTCGCGAGTAAACCAAAGATGACCTTACTTTCCATTTTGTCGGAACCAGCCCTGGTTGAGCTGCATGGGTTTGTCAGGGGTCTGGTAGTTCAGGGCAACCATCTGGCAACCACTTGTCCACATCGGGACAGGATCGTAATTATCCGACGCGATTCGTAAGGCTTTCGGGTAGATTCTACTGAGCTGATAACAGTTGTAACTTGTACCGTTAAGGAAATATATGGACACAGACTGTTATATTATACATGACGATAAAATGATCGTGTGTGATAACTATCCGATATTTGCACATGTGCATTTTAGCTATGCTCAGCGCTGATTGGTCAACTAATGACGTCACAGCGCTTCAAACATCCGGTATGACGTTAGGCATTGTTCATGACGTACAGATTGATTACATTTCGTCATCTGAACAATAGGTTGCCTTCAGTGAAGTTTCTCTGTTGTTGTTTTTTCTCTCTTAATATATCAATGAGTATTTTTTTTAATTAGCTCCTGGAAACTGGGAACTACCAAGTATATGTTTGTTTGTTTGTTGTTTACGATGCACTCAGCAGCAAAAGTCCAGCTATATGACGGCGGTCTGTAATTAATCGAAATTGGACCAGACAATCTAGTGATTGCCATCATGAGCATCGATCCACGCAATTTGGATACGATGACATGCATCAAGCATGTTAGCGAGCCTGACCACCCAATCCCGTTAGTCGCCTCTTACGACAAACATAGTCGCCTTTTACGGCAAGCATGGGTTGCTGAAGACCTATTCTACCCCGGTTCTACACGGGTCTGTTCGTTCACTCGGGACAGGTAATCCATTAATTCCCGTAAGGGCTGTTGGAAGGATACTTTGTTATCGTTGTCATTTTGTCTGTGGTTAGAAACTGTGCAATCTTTGATTCGGACAGAGATGACATTTCCGAATGCCTGCCAGGAATGTCTAGAAAAATAGAAAGAACTCATTCAATTATATAGAAATAACACCCAGAATACACGTATATGTGTTGTTCAACGTCGCACTCAACAATATTCCAACCATATGACGGTCTGTAAATAATCTGGACCAGGTAATCCAGTGATTGACATCATGAGCATCGATCCACGGAAATTGGATACGATTATATGCAATTACCGAGCCTGACCAGCCGATTCATTAAGTCGCCTCTGACGGCAAACATACATATGCACCTCGGAATGCTGGAACATACCCAGAATCCCCCACGGGTTTAAATGAAGTCAGACTTAAGGACACCGTGTTTGAGGAGGAAACCCCAGGCACGTAAGATACCTTTTCGCCTTTTCCAATCAGCACAGGTTTTGGGGGACTATCGTAGAATCACTATAGGTTCCCGAGTGCACGTACAGATATTGAAATGAAGTAACTTCTGTTATTTTCGTACTTGTACCTGCCGGGCGTCTAGCAAATTTACGAATAGTATTTCAGTGTGAACGTCATAGCTAGAACTGGAATACACATGTAGATTTGAAGTAGAAAATATGAAAAAGCGTCCCAAATGGTTTGGATGGTGTTTGTTATAATCGACGGTTCGACTTTATTCATCTGTTTAATGGAAAAGGGCTGAGTACCTCTTAATTATGCAACATTAAGAGCAACCTACTCTTTGTGTCGAAGGCCACAGCTCGACAGTAGACGACGAGGTCCGACAATTCTGCAGCTCTATTGTCTATACCCTCCTGTACAGACCGCTTACGATCCTAAAGAAAAAAGATGCATAGTGAGCGAGAGAGTGAATAGATACGCCACATGTAGCAATATTCCAGCATTAACTCGCAGCCTGTAATTGCACTGGGCCGGAAAAACTAGAGGTTAAAAGCAGGAGCAACGATCCATGTCACAGAGCCCGACCACGTGATCCCAACTTAAGCCAGGTCCTACGGCAGACAGACACACTCACGGACCCCCCGTCATGTTACCCCTGTATGAAATCTTGGAGGCGTGCACCGCAAATCAGTTCGAATTATTTAGTAAAAATACATTATTGTAAGCTGTATCCAAATATGTAGCATGATAATTAATATTCAAAATAAATTGATACATTTACTGTCACTCATGATCACCCTCAGCATCAGCATCTCCCAATCACCTCCTCCAACTTTCCCATCACCTCCTCCCCACCCTCCATTCACCTCCTCCCCATCCACCCTTCACCTCCCCACCCACCCATCACCTCATCACCACCCAGCCATCATCTCCTCCCCACCCAGCCATCATCTCCTCCCCGCCCAGACATCACCACATCACCAACCACCCATCACCTCATCACCACACAGCCATCATCTCCTCCCCACCCACCCTTCACCTCCTCCCCACCAACCAATCACCTCATCACCACCCAGTCATCATCTCCTCCCCACCCAGTCATCATCTCCTCCCCACCCACCCTTCACCTCCTCCCCACCCACCCATCACCTCATCACCACCCAGTCATCATCTCCTCCCCACCCAGCCATCATCTCCTCCCCACCCAGCCATCATCTCCTCCCCACCCAGCCATCATCTCCTCCCCACACAGCCATCACCTCCTCCTCAACCACCCTTCACCTCCTCCCCACCCAGGCATCATCTCCTCCCCACCCAGCCACCACCTCCTCCCCACCCTCCCATCACCTCCTCCCCACCCAGCCATCACCTCCTCCCCACCCACCCATCATCTCCTCCCCACCCTCCATTCACCTCCTCCCCACCCACCCATCACCTCATCACCACCCAGCCATCATCTCCTCCCCACCCAGCCATCATCTCCTCCCCGCCCAGACATCACCACATCACCAACCACCCATCACCTCATCACCACACAGCCATCATCTCCTCCCCACCCACCCTTCACCTCCTCCCCACCCACCCATCACCTCATCACCACCCAGTCATCATCTCCTCCCCACCCAGCCATCATCTCCTCCCCACCCAGCCATCATCTCCTCCCCACCAAGCCATCATCTCCTCCCCACACAGCCATCACCTCCTCCTCAACCACCCTTCACCTCCTCCCCACCCAGCCATCATCTCCTCCCCACCCAGCCACCACCTCCTCCCCACCCTCCCATCACCTCCTCCCCACCCAGCCATCACCTCCTCCCCACCCAGCCATCATCTCCTCCCCACCCAGCCATCACCTCATCACCACCTCATCACCACCCAGCAATCACCTCCTCCCCTCCCACCCATCACCTCCTCCCCACCCAGCCATCATCTCCTCCCCACCAAGCCATCATCTCCTCCCCACACAGCCATCACCTCCTCCCCACCCAGCCATCACCTCCTCCCCACCCAGCCATCATCTCCTCCCCACCCAGCCACCACCTCCTCCCCACCCTCCCATCACCTCCTCCCCACCCAGCCATCACCTCCTCCCCACCCACCCATCATCTCCTCCCCACCCAGCCATCACCTCATCACCACCTCATCACCACCCAGCAATCACCTCCTCCCCTCCCACCCATCACCTCCTCACCACCAACCCATCATCTCCTCACCACCCACCCATCACCTCTTCCCCACCCACTAATCATCACCTCCTCCGACCATCCCATCACCTCCTCAACCAACACTCACCCATCACCTCCTCACCATCCACCCATCATCTCCTCCCCACCCAGCCATCACCACCTCCCCACCCACCCATCACCTCATCAGCACCCAGCCATCATCCCCTCCCCACCCACCCATCACCTCATCACCACCCACCCATCACCTCATCACCACCCAGCCATCATCTCCTCCCCACCCAGCCATCATCTCCTCCCCGCCCAGACATCACCACATCACCAACCACCCATCACCTCCTCCCCACCCACCCATCACCTCTTCCCCACCCACCCATCATCTCCTCCCCTCCCACCCATCACCTCATCACCATCCACCCATCACCACCTCCCCACCCACCAATAATCACCTCCTCACCACCCACCCGTCACCTCCTCACCATCCACCCATCACCTTCCCACCAACAACCCATCACCTCATCTCCATCCTCCCATCACCTCTACCCACCCAGCCATCATTACGTCCTCCCCATCCACCCATCACCTCCTTCCCAACCCTCCTATCTCCTCCTCTCCACCCCTATCTCCTCCGCCCCAACTTCCATCACCTCAACCCCATCCACCCATCACCCCACATCACCTCCACCCCATCCATCATCACATCAACCCCATCCATCAATCACCTCCACCCCACCTACTCATCACCTTCTCCCCACCCTCCCATCACCTCCACCCCACCCTGTATTTTGAGAGGTCATACATCTCGCCAGGGGTGTAACTTTGTAGTACAGCATCAAATTCATTGTCTAATAAAACCATCAACATAATATAAAATGGTGATAATAATAATGAACGTACTCTGTTTTCTAGTGCCGCAACATTGCTTCTTATAGCGTCACCCCAGTCCGCCATTTCTCGATGGTGATCGAAGCCGATGATGAAAGGCTTGGCTGTCTTGTTGCTGAATATATTGAGAACATTCTTTTTGTCTTCAACCTGCCGAGATATTTCTGAAAAACACCCATATTGTTTAGCATAAAAGAAATACGTTTTGTATCCAAAAATTGAATTATTGATTCATTGCTTTGGAAGTGACAGTAGTGGAATGTTGTGTAGAGACATCATCCCACGTTCTTTCAAGGAAATATAAGCAACAATGTATACCACAATACGTGATATTTCAACTAAATACACTTTTAAATATTTCATTTTGGTCTTCAATATGTGATACGGATTATGCAAGAACATCGTCCTTGCTGTCGGGAGTATGAACTTATACCAGGGCAGCCAGGCCAGCATTGGGTTTAATTGGCTGGGCCCTCGTCATCCGCTAAACATAGAATATACCGTCAAACTCCGTTTGACCTCGGATGTGTCGAATCTCCGTTTGTGTCGAACTCACAGTCCGGTCCCACTACACTTTTACAACTATTTTAACTCGGGTATGTAGAACTGGAACTGTTGCTCCGTTTGTGTCGAACTCACAGTCCGGTCCCACTACACTTTTACCACTATTTTAACTCGGGTATGTAGAACTGGAACTGTTGCTCCGTTTGTGTCGAACTCACAGTCCGGTCCCACTACACTTTTACCACTATTTTAACTCGGGTATGTAGAACTGGAACTGTGCTCCGTTTGTGTCGAACTCACAGTCCGGTCCCACTACACTTTTACTGGAACTGTTGATCTTATATTCCCAAGAGTTCAACGGGCAACTTGGCATAAGTTGGAGTTTGTATGATTTTAATAAAATGATGTAGATGCATGCAGGAGATATGACAAATTCTACTGCTTTAGTTCTTATTGTAAACATGTAATGCACCTAACATGCACCATATGTACGTTTGCTGTCTGCTGTCTGATAGCGAGGAAAGGTCGTAATTAAGACCCAGCCGGAAGTGTCGAATCCCAATTAAAACTGTCTGGTCCCGAGGAGTTCGAGACAACGGGGTTCGACTGCTCATCCATATTGGGTAATGATACAACACATGTAGCCTCATGGGTAAAGTGTTCGCTTGTAACGCCGATGGTCTGAGTTCGAGTCCCAATATGTGTACAATGTGTAAAGCTCTTCTTGTGATCGATGCCCTGATACGGCTGCAATATTGCTACAAACGGCGTAAAACCACACTCATGTTACCTGCAGTGGGTGTACCTACCAACGATGCCGCCTGCGAGGTCTATGATGCCGCTCTCCTTCTCGAGGTCTGTCTTATCGTCTTCCTTCTCCGGGATGACCTCCACGTAATTGGCCGGAAACAGAAGCTGTCGCATGTCTCCGAGGTCTCCCCTCCACCTGAGGGGGGTAATCACTACGATCACAATACACTCTTACTTTGTTTGATTCACACACTGCTTGACTCTCACACTATTAGACGTTTATCTCTCTTGAAACATTAAAACCACCTCCGTGGTCAAGTGGGTAGAGCGTCTGTCTGGAGAGCGGAAGGTCGGTGCTTCGATCCCCGGTCACGTCATACCAAAAGAAGTTTAAAGTTCGTAAGTGATGTTACCACGCCTGGCGCTCGGCATTTCGGGGCTTAAAGAAGGACTGGGTGGCTCGGAGTCAGTGTACTGTGTCTGGGTGGGGTATTCATGGTAAACTGCGACATTGCTTCTCCGAGGGCTAGCACTATGAAATCGGCATAAGTCTGGACAAATACAAGCACCCACACACACCCACACACACATGCATGCACGTCGCTATATAAGTACAATAATCTTTAACACGACGTTAAACCCCATTTCACCTTACCTTGAAGCATTAACACTCGATGATTTTACCATAAAAGTTGGAGTTGGTATCAATGTCCTAATTGGCAAATTACCCACTGTGTTATATCTCTATATATTTTTATTAATAGCCTGGACCAATTCGCCACTTTGATTTCCATCTCTAACTAACACAGACTATAATCGCTCTTGGGAATAATTTGATTGGACGGCTATTTTTAGCGTTATTCTGATCGAATCGGGCTCAAATCGAAGCTATGGGAGCGAATGGGTCAATGGTATTTATCATAGTAGAACTGCGATTTAATACACTGGATGATGATGATTATTATTATCATAAGGACTGGATTCAGTTAAAATCAACTTACCATGGACAATCCTCCTCCTTGACATTCGTAATGAGCGCCCCCCTGCGGAAGGTCATCTGGTCACACTGGTTACCCCGGAAGTCGTACAGGGCCTTCACCTTCACCTGGTAACCATGGTAATGTAAATAAATCGGGCAGGGTTCTGACAAACCATGCTCATTTTCGGGTGTATCTAGGATTCAAACTTGTAGCTGAGATACACCTTACACTACTTGGCTACCCATGTCCTCAAGCATAGGTAGAAACACTTCAACTATTTATTACATCAGCATATATATATGTGTGTAAATAGTATGACATATACATGTATGATAGTCACGTGAACGAAATTACTTTATCACATGAGTGGATATAAAAGGTACTTTAAATATATTCGTTTTCAGATATGTAAATATGGGATACAACTTTCATACTCACTGTTGATCAAATATTACTTCTTTTATGAAACATAACCCTGTTTATGATTTATTTTCCCTTCTAACAGAAATTGAGGATGCATCGTGTGATAAATTAACATACAAGTGGTAGTTAGACGCACATTTGCGGTTTGCTGTTCCTTTAATTTAACGTTTTAAGCAAAGTGGTGTACGTTAACCAACCCTCCCAACCAGAGGCTGCCGTTGTTGTTGTTTGTATTCCATTTGTCTTATTATAAAATGACCTTGACCTTGTGTGGTTTGTTATAGAAAATGAAGAGAAACATGATCGGGATGCGACTGACTGATGCTTGAGGTAATGTGCATATTTGTTGAATAATTATGTGGATTTCTATAATGCGCGAAATCTATGCCCTAAAGGGTTATCAAAGAGCTACATTATTACGCCGGTCCGTGGATCAGTGTGCACTTGATGTTCAACCCAAGCTGTCTATGAGGCGCTAGATTTGTTTGTTTGTTTGTTGTTTAACGCCGCAATCAGCAATATTCCAGCTGTATGACGGCGGTCTGTAAAATAATCGAGTCTGGACCAGACAATCCAGTGTTTGACTTCATGAGCATAGATCTACGCAATTGGGATCGATGACATGTATCAACCAAGTCAGCGAGCCTGACCACCCGATCCCGTTAGTCGCCTTTTACGACAAGCATAGTCGCCTTTTACGGCAAGTATGGGTTGCTGAAGACCTATTCTACCCCGGAATCTTCACGGGTATGAGGCGCTAGAAGGTTAACAGCCACATTACCATATCAAAATAATAATTTACCATGCTGAGGCCTTCGGGGCTGTTGGGGTCGCTGTAGATGCTGCAGCCGTAGATGTCGCAGTCGTCAGCCTGAAATAGAGTCAGTGTTACTAAATTACAGACCACCGTCGTATTGCTCGCATATTGCGGAGTGCGGCGTTAAACTGCCTGACCTCCCGATTCATTCTTACGACCAGCACATGTTGCTGGGGACCAATTTTAAGGCCAGGTTCACACAGTGCCGATTATGGCTCTCGTTTGAGATCAGACCGCGCTACGACACGAAAAGTAAAAAAGTCGGATTACTATCCTCAATGATCTTGAATGTCCTGTCATTGTTTGACCGCAGCCGTACACGTTCGTATAAGAATCCTATGGATCGGGAAAGGTCCAGAGAGGTCGGCCAAGCACTCCCGACAGTATGGTTCGTCCCGTAACATTCGCGAAACTCGATTTTGTCTAGTCGGATTACAATCGTGACTATGTCGTGACAGATTCTGCTGTATCGGATCAAACTCGTAACAATGTCTTGTGTTGTCTGGACGGTGTTCTGTGGATCGGGACGCTGTCGTGATGAACGGGCATGAATTGTTCATTGACGTTTCTTGTCCAGATTGCGTCCAGATCTTGCCGAATGCGAACCGTCTTTGTCGGTTCACTCTCCGGTCACTGTCTGATCTCTGTCGGATCGCATTCGGGAGAATCGGGACGCTGTCAGGACAGATTCGGTCGTTTGTTACCATGCGGAAGATACAAATCGGATCAGATTCGGATTGAGAACGGGAGAATCGGAACGAATTCGGCTGTAAACGGCTGAATCGAGACGCTTCCTGAACAATATCTGATTGTTTGTGAATTTCTCGCCACGAATCACAGGATCTTGATCAGACGTTTGACAAATTTTAATCGGGAATGGTCCTATCAGGGACCGCAGTAAAAATCCTGACTGAGCCCTAACACGGATTCCCCAGGTTTTTCGGGGCGGTTAGAATAACAAGACGCTTAATGAATAATAATCTAACGAACAAGTTCACATGAAACCGGCAGCACTCAAAGAATTCTTCCACATAAATATAATTTGATTTAAACCTTATATAACATTAAAAAGTTGGCAACATACAACTGCTGATTTGGTACATTTGCATTTTTTTCGGCACAAAATTACAGTATTTAAACAAGGTAGTGGTTATATCATCGCAAATTCATTTCTCACCCCGTATTCATTGAACCAATTTATTTTTACACAACACTACCCAGCCACAGATTACTTACTTCAAACTATTACAGGAAAGAGTGATGGTTAAACAGATATTCACAACACGTCTCTCAATTGTCATGTACATAAAAACAAAAAACTTTCTTTTGTCGCTCAGCATATATTGATTGATTTACAATTTTCTTGTTAACAATCTAGTCTATATAACTGACCATATCAGCCGACAACGTAGTCTGTATGGCTAATGTTTCCTGTTGACAATCTAGTCTACACAACGATTTTACCTATTGACAATGTAGTCTATATAACTAACTTTATAAGCCAGTAATCTAGTCTGTATAACCATATTTACCTGTTGACAATGTACTCTGTATAACCATATTTACCTGTTTGCAATGTAGTCTGTATTACCATATTTACCTGTTGACAATGTACTCTGTATAACCATATTTACCTGTTGACAATGTACTCTGTATTACCATATTTACCTGTTGACAATGTAGTCTGTATTACCATATTTACCTGTTGACAATGTAGTCTGTATAACCATATTTACCTGTTGACAATGTAGTCTGTATAACCATATTTACCTGTTTACAATGTAGTCTTTATAACTAACTTTATAAGCTACAATTCTAGTCTGTATAACCATATTTACCTTTTGACAATGTAGTCTTTATAACTTACTTTATAAGCCAGTAAGCTAGTCTCTATAATCATATTTACCTGTTGATCAGTCGTCGCCCCTGATGCCGGTTTCCCAAGTTTCATCTTTCTGTACAGTGGGTTCTTCTTGAAGAATTCCACCAGCTTCACCAGACTGGTAAACCGGTAGAGGCCAAGAACGTATGGCCCGCAATGCTTGCTGATACGAAAATGACGAATTTTGCCGTGATATCTGAAAAATCAAAAATGATTTGCAGACTCTCATTGATGAGAATGATGAAATATGCCTTTACTAGATTCATTATGAGTACATCCAACGGCCTATTCATTATATATAGTGCACGGTTAGCCCAGTCGTATTTGGCACCGGAGTTTGCTAATGCAGAGTTGCGTCCCTTAGGCGTTCCAAAATACTGTGGGTTCGAATCCCAGTCTTGACTTGTGTTTTAGCATCTATGACCCGCATAACATTCCTCCCGCATTAAGCTGACACGCCGTAATATATTAGTAACTGAAATGCTGTTCAAAGCAGCGTAAAACCAAACTCGTTCACTCTCGTTCACACATATGGGCTTTTGACCATTTACATTAAGTCGATATAACAAACTATCAATAGACTGCATGCGCATGATATTATCTATCACCATATGTCCATATAACAGTTTCATTATATGGTATCATATTGTTCAGTCTCATAACAACAATATACGTGTGAAGATCCGGGGTAGAATATGTCTTCAGCAAGCCATGCTTGCCGTAAAAGTCGCGACTTGTGGGATTGAGGGATCAGGCTCGCTGACTTAGTTGATGCATGTCATCATATCCCAATTGATAGATACTTCTGATGTTAATCACTTGCTTGTCTGGTATAGCTTGGATTATTTGCAGACCGCCGTCATAAAGCTGGAATATTGCTACGTGTGGCGTTAAACAACAAACAAACAAACATAACAACAACAGAACAAAGACAGTAACGACCCTGCATACCTAAACGAAAGAGCAAAGCTATCCTTGGCTGATCCTGGTCTCACAAGAAAGCGACCATCCTCAGGATTTCTTCTGAGCATTTCCTCAGCAGCCCTCCTGTTCACACTGCTGAAGTACCATCTGTAAAACAAGAAGGATTGACCAGCTGAAGTACCATGTGTAAAACAAGAAAGGTTAACCAGCTGAAGTACCATCTGTAAAACAAGAAGGATTGACCAGCTGAAGTACCATCCGTAAAACAAGGAGGATTGACCAGCTGAAGTACCATGTGTAAAACAAGAAGGCCTGACCAGCTGAAGTACCATATGTAAAACAAGAAGGCCTGACCAGCTGAAGTACCATCTGTAAAACAAGAAGGATTGACCAGCTGAAGTACAATCTGTAAAACAAGAAGGCCTGACCAGCTGAAGTACCATATGTAAAACAAGAAGGCCTGACCAGCTGAAGTACCATGTGTAAAACAAGAAGGCCTGACCAGCTGAAGTACCATATGTAAAACAAGAAGGCCTGACCAGCTGAAGTACCATGTGTAAAACAAGAAGGCCTGACCAGCTGAAGTACCATCTGTAAAACAAGAAAGGTTAACCAGCTGAAGTACCATCCGTAAAACAAGGAGGATTGACCAGCTGAAGTACCATGTGTACAACAAGAAGGCCTGACCAGCTGAAGTACCATCTGTAAAACAAGAAGGCCTGACCAGCTGAAGTACCATGTGTAAAACAAGAAGGCCTGACCAGCTGAAGTACCATGTGTAAAACAAGAAGGCCTGACCAGCTGAAGTACCATCTGTAAAACAAGAAGGATTGACCAGCTGAAGTACAATCTGTAAAACAAGAAAGGTTAACTAGCTGAAGTACCATATGTAAAACAAGAAGGATTGACCAGCTGAAGTACCATCTGTAAAACAAGAAAGGTTAACCAGCTGAAGTACCATCTGTAAAACAAGAAAGGTTATCCAGCTGAAGTACCATCCGTAAAACAAGTAGGATTGACCAGCTGAAGTACCATCTGTAGAACAAGACGGGTTGACCAGTTGAAGTACCATGTGTAAAACAAGAAGGCCTGACCAGCTGAAGTATCATCCGTAAAACAAGAAGGATTGACTAGCTGAAGTACCATCTGTAAAACAAGAATGGTTGACTAGCTGAAGTACCATATGTAAAACAATAAGGATTGACAAGCTGAAGTACCATCTGTAGAACAAGACGGGTTGACTAGCTGAAGAATCATCCGTAAAACAAGAAGGATTGGCTAGCTGAAGTACCATCCGTAAAACAAGAAAGGTTGACTAGCTGAAGTACCATATGTAAAACAAGTAGGATTGACAAGCTGAAGTACCATCTGTAGAACAAGACGGGTTGACTAGCTGAAGTACCATCCGTAAAACAAGAAGGGTTGACCAGCTGAAGTACCATCTGTAAAACAAGGAGGATTGACTAGCTCAAGTACCATTCGTAAAACAAGAAGGATTGACCAGCTGAAGTACCATCTGTAAAACAATAAGGATCGGCCAACTGAAGTACCATCCGTAAAACAAGAAGGGTTGACTAGCTGAAGTACCATCCGTAAAACAACAAGTATTGACTAGCTAAATTACCATCTGTAAAACAAGAAGGATTCTCCAGCTGAAGATATACAGATTCATACCGTTTGCACATCGTTTTTTCGATTCAATGAACCGAACAAAATATACAGTCAATCCTTGTATTTAAATTCGACAATGAAAATATGTGTTATCTACAATAATTTAACCAAAAACAGTTGCCCATATCAAAGCCAACAAATATGACGAGAGTGGTAAACATTTCATGTGAAGGAAGACAAGTTGTGGCGTGACATGAATCAGGTGATTGTTTAATTTATGCACAAAAGTTGACACGCCCGCAAAGTCAGTAGCCAATCAACGGAGAGTAGGATCAAAACAAAGTTCATAAGATATGTCAATCAAGGCAAGGGGCGAGAAGTACTGCAATGGTCATACTATATGTACAAATACAAATATACCCGGGAGAAGGCGATTGTTTCAGATGACATGGTCAGCTACCGTCAGATTTAAACATTAGTTCCCTGTGAACGGGAAAACATACATGTAGTTGGAAAAAGGCTGGTTAGAAATGAAACCGAAGACATGAAATTTGTGAAACCCAGGCAAGAAAAACAGGCAAACGAGCCTGCACTTTTGCTGTTTCGTTCTATCTCGGCTTTCGGTCTCAAATAGTAGTTTGGACAATGAATGTCATGTGCATGACGATGCACGTGAGCTGAAGGGAATTACTCGACTCTATTGGGATTCTCCTACATTCCGTGGTGATAAAAGTAGTCCGCGTAGTGGGCGTGGCTTAATTTTTTACATTCATTAGGAAATGATTGCAATAACAGGTGACCTATTCAGCTAATCAGAATGCATGTATAACAATGAACACCAAAACATTCTTTTGACCGGCAGTGTACGAAAAGAATCTCGACTCACGGCTTGGTGATGTAATCGGGCGGGTGGTAGACGGACTCATTGAGGAGGACTGACTTGTTGGTGGCGAGGTATAATGGGTTTTCTCTATAGTAGTCGAGCAGTTCCTTCACTGTCGTCTTGCATGTGCTGTCGTTGAAGTAGTAGATCTTTGTTCCGTCGTCTTCAACTCGCGATTGAATCCGACAGTGGTTGGCTTTCCCGTCGAGCCTGAAACACACAGTCAGAAACTCACATATGCAGCCAGATACTGAAAAAAACAGTCGTACACTGAAACGTGCCGCCATACACCATAACACGCGGCCATTAACTGTAACATGCCACTATAAACTGACGCTTGCTCCAGTAAACAGAAACATACCGCCATTAACTGTGGCATGCCGCCATTTACTGAAACATGCCGCCATTTACTGAAACATGCTGCCTTTAACTGAAACATGCCTCCATTAAATGAAACATGCTTCCATTAACTTAAACATGCCGCCATTAACTGAAACACTCCGTCATTAACTGAAAAAGGCCTCCATTTACTGAAACATGCTTCCATTACTGAAACATGCCGCCATTAACTGTAACATGCCTCAATTTACTGAAACATGCCTCCATTTACTGAAATATGCCTCCATTAACTGAAACATGCCTCCATTAACTGTAACATGCCGGCATACCCTGTAACATTCTACCATTAACTGCCACCATGAAACAGTACACTGAACACGCCAACGTCAAGTCTTATAACGATTTCGCACAATAACACAAATGATAGATTATTCCTTTCTGAGCTAGAAAAGCAACTAATACAAAAAGCACATTTTAATGATATTTCATGACGTTTGTGTTAATTTTTTTTTATCAGATTGGACAATTCTGGCGAAAGTCATTGGTCGTTCAAGGACCTACGTCGGACGATAGACTGATGTCACAGTGCAGGCTCCATATCAACCATAACGGTCTATACAGGACACTTTATAACTGTTCTTTTAATGTGTTTCATTTAAACACAACACGCTTTGACAAAGTTTGTGAGAAAAATGTGACGTATATTTACCAAAATGATATTGAGTATCCTGATCCGTTGTCGCGTTCCCTGACTAGGTAGGTGCCATCACCATGAGATTTCTGCTCCTTCAGGAGCCCCTCCGCTTCCCGTCGTCCCCGAGAAAGTTTACCATGAAACCATGGCTCCATCTCAATATTCTCGTCCTCGCTGTCGTAGTCCTGAGAAGATGTGTGAGTGAGTGGGTGAGTGGGTGAGTGGGTGAGTTGGATTTAATGATGCTTTAGTTCAGGTGTGTCACGACAGAGGGAAGTGACGAAGGTCTAGAACCGAGGGAGTGAGTGAGTATGGTTTTAGGCCGCTTTTAGCAATATTCCTGCAATATCACAAGGGTCACCAGAAATGGGCTTCACACATTGTACCCATGTCGGTAATCGAACCCGGGGCTTCGGCGTGACGAGCGAAAGCTTTAACCACGGGGCTACCCGACCGCCCCGTCTAGAAATGAATCCACGAGCACGGATATCGTGCTGACAAATTTAGAAACGTTATCAGGGCGACTTTCGGATTCGAACCCACGACCATAGGTTTCAGCGGCTGAGACATCACTTCGGTGAAATCAACGAGCACGGATTTAATGCTGATTAACGAACGATCATACTTGGGTCATATCTTGTATTCGAACCCACGACAGCGGATCCTGGAAAGACCAAGGGACGCAAAGCAGCAGAGCAGTTGCAGCACACCGGACCGACCATACAGCCAAACATACGGTTCATTAAAATGAGGCCGTTGTATCAGGTTTATAACGCAATCCACATCTAAAGGGACCCGTGAAGATCCGGGGTAGAATAGGTCTTGCTTGCCGTAAAAGGCGACTATGCTTGTCGTAAGAGGCGACTAACGGGATCGGGTGGTCAGGCTCGCTGACTTGGTTGATGCATGTCATCGTATCCAAATGGCGTGGATCGATGCTCATGATGTCAATCACGGGATTGTCTGGTCCATACTCGATTATTTACAGACCGCCGTCATATAGCTGAATATTGCTGAGTGCGGCGTTACACAATAAACAAACAAACAAACAAGGAAACGTCTAAAGGCTTGACCTTTTGATATTTGTTTTTTATCGAAAAATTATATGGTCCCCGAAAATTCTTGAAAAAATAATTCTGCTTCAGCCTGTTGACAAACAATTTTTCTGCCACAAAAAATTCCTTGTTGTAAGGTGTTTGTCTTACAAATATTCAGGCTTATAGTTTTAATTCAAAAGGAACATTCCTTGCAGTTGCTGAATATTAAAAAACACGAAACATACTTCATATTCATCAGCAGCATCATCCTCGAAATCCTCGCCTTCATAGTCATCCTTCGGGCTGTACATCAGTTCCTTCTCCGTGAGAACACACTTCAGGGGGACCCATGCCTTTATATGAAACATGTCATAAGGAGTGAGTGAGTTCGGCTTAAGACCACCGCGGACAGTATTCAGTTATATCACTGCCGGAAATCTAAAATTGACCTCTTTCTTAGACGTTTACAACTTTGGTGAAACCTACGAGCACGGGTTTTCTGAAATACCTAAAAACATAATCTGGGCGGCATAGGATTCTGGTACGCTTAAGGGACGCAACTTTTCACAACGAATTGAGGAGAGATAGGGTTTAAAATGTTGAAACGAGAAACTAAAATTACCAAGGAGCATTTATGCCGCCATTTTGAATTTGCATGCTTACACACTGAAGACAAAGACTACTGTAGGCTCTTACCCGTTCAGCTTGGTCCAGTATATGCAAGATGCCAGATTTGCGGACATCTAGCGATAACCTCTCTGAAAGAAAAGTCAGGGAGCTAGTTTGATCGCCGCTTTCGACTGTGGTTCGGCTTAATTGATATGGTCGTGGTAACACACACGGTCACGTGGTTGGTTCTAACAGACCAGGTGTTGTAATCGGGGTTAATCTGGGATTCAACACCATTAGCAGGATAACCACTTGACTATCCGCGCCCCTGTGTTTTACTGGCGGAATGACTTGTTTTCACTTTATGGGTGAGGTGAGGTGAGGTGAGGTGAGGTGAGGTGAGGTGAGGTGAGGTGAGGTGAGGTGAGGTGAGGTGAGGTGAGGTGAGGTGAGGTGTGTGTGTGTGTGTGTGTGTGTGTGTGTGTGTGTGTGTGTGGCGGAATGACTTGTTTTCACTTTATAGGTAAGGTGTGTGTGGCGTAATGACTTCTTTTCCCTTTATAGGTGAGGTGTGTGCGTGTGTGTGAGGCGGAATGACTTCTTTTCACTTTATAGGTGAGGTATATGCGTGTGTGTGAGGCGGAATGACTTCTTTTCACTTTATAGATGAGGTATATGCGTGTGTGTGAGGCGGAATGACTTCTTTTCACTTTATAGATGAGGTATATGCGTGTGTGTGAGGCGGAATGACTTCTTTTCACTTTATAGATGAGGTGGGGTTGTAGTGCAGGTGGAGGTGGAGGTTGATGGTGTTAGGGGGGAGAGGTTAGGTGAGTTGAGATGGGGTGAGGTTGAGGTTGAGTGTGTGAGAGAGAGAGAGAGAGAGAGAGAGAGAGAGAGAGAGAGAGGGAGAGGGGTAGAGAGAGAAACAGACAGAGACAGAGACAGAGAGGTGAGGTGCGGTGAGGTGAGGTTAGGTTGAGGTTGAGGTTGAGTGTGTGTGTGTGAGAGAAAGAGAGAGAGAGAGAGAGAGGGGGGGGGGGTAGAGGAAGAAACAGACAGAGAGAGACAGAGAGGTGAGGTGCGGTGAGGTGAGGTTAGGTTGAGGTTGAGGTTGAGTCCGGACTGATGCCGATACCATGCCGCAGTTTAACATGAATACCCTACTCAAACACAGTATACTGACTCCGAGCCGACCAGTCCTTGTTTTGTCCTTCAATGCCGTGCACCAGGCAGAGCAAAAACAAGTGTACCATGTTTTAACTTCTAACAATGTCTTTCAATTGACACTACAGTTCACGTCACCGTGACGTCACATTATTTGTGTGCGGTGTGGTACATACTTTCATCTGAGCCTTCGTCGACCTTCAGTTTACGATCCTGAAATGAAAATACACGAACTATGTTTTTACTTGAGGCAATAGTACATCCGTGGAATTTGTGAACATTGCTTCAAGTCGTTTTTTCATCGTCTTTTCCGCTTTTTACAGTATAAGTTCGTCGTATAAGTTGACATATTTTAAACTTGTAATTTGGGGCTAAAAAAGTCGGTAGGTTGAAAAAATCAAAAATCCAATTATAAATATTTATTTTGATTTCTCAAAAATGTTAAGTAGGTAGGGAAAAAAAGATGGAAGCGGGATTTTAACCATAGTATTTTATATATCAAGTATCTTAAATAATGTATTAATATTGATAGCGGCAGTAAATGAGGTTTGTTGTTTTAACATGTTACTTATTTCTCTGAGCGGAATAAAAAAACACTGGTTTTCATTTATTTAATTTTAATTTCATGACATTACAATATTTTGTAGTCAAACCAAGTTTTAAAAAAGTGTGGACTAACAGTCAAATGGATATATTTTATATATCTGATCTGCAAATACTGGAATGATAAGCGCAAATGATTGTGCACAAAGAGGTAACAAAATGCCCTATAAAATAGAAATCCAGCGCCTGTCATGCCTCTCAAAGAGACAGAAAGAAATCTTTGATAATGGTCATTGTCTGGAGGAGTCCGGCAATGACGCAAAACCAGTTACAGACTATCATCGTTTTAAGGGGCACTGGTGGGATTAAATCAGTCATTGAAAATACTGAATGAGAACAGCTACACAACATTACCGTTGTAACAAATCTTGTATTTTAAAATTGGAATCAATAATGCCAAAATACACAATAAAATGAAGTCAATGAAAATCCGTGTTTTCTATTTAAAAAACCCCATATCACCCCATTTTTTCATCCGAGTATGGTTAGTCTGGCATGCTCTTTATCATTTTTATACTACTTATTATTATTGTCATTGCTAATACTGATAGTATTCGAATTTTGTTATTCTTACTGCAACTATACCTGCTACCATCTTACTGTTACAGCAACCGCAATTACTGCCACAGAACTGATATTACTGATAATTACACAGTACACGTTGAAGTATTGATACGGATACAGAAGATGTCCTTATTATTGATTTTCTGCTGCTGAAGGTCAAGCATCCCCTCACCTTGATGAGGATCTTCCTCCTGAGGAGTTCCGGTGAAGGTAGTTGCCTCTCCATAGCGTCCACCGGGGCCGTCACCAGCTCATCTGCAGACGGGCGGATCAAGAGTGAGAATGAATTGTGTTCCATGCCTTGTTTGTTTCTTTGTTTATAGTATTACGCCGCACTCAGCAATATTCCAGCTATATGGCGGGCGGTCTGTAAATAATCGAGTCTAGACCAGACAATCCAGTGATTGACATCATGAGCATCGATCCACGTAATCGGGATACGATGACATGCATCAACCAAGTCAGCGAGCCTGACCACCCGATCCCATTAGTCTCCTCTTACGACAAGCTCAGTCGCCTTTGACTGCAAGCATGAATCTAACACTGATCTTCACGCGTCAATAAATGAGTGAGTTTGGTTAATATTTGAACAGTATTCAGTTATATCATGCATGTAAGTTAGTGATGCAGGTCGTAGTCGTTCAACACTTTTCTATTCTAACCCGGATCTTCACGGGTCGTGTTCCCTGCAATTGTTCTGTTTAGTGTATAACAGAAAGATTTGCGAGGAAAGCACGAGGTAAATAAACGAGACAACATCGTTTCCATAAATATAAGAAATCACCGCGAACACAAACTTGATTGTGCGATTCGAGCTATATCACGAGCATGTGTTCAGGAATCACCATCAAACAGTGATGATACCAGGCGTTCGCGAAAAAGGTGAGCATATCCTGCCCCGCCGACACAAACACATGCAAATGCAAGTCAATTGTTCACCTGAAAAAAGGGCGCATGTGATACAACTTAAAACAGGTAATGTCATCAGATATCATTTTTACCACTTCGAAGAACGACCAAGGATCATAATCAGATACATCAAGGGTTATTTTCCATAGTCAACTGATACTTGAGGGGCAAAGGGAAGGAACTCTGGATAGGGTCTTGGCGACCTTGTCAATTACTCATGATTACAATGATGCCATTCATGTGCGGGATGGGGGACACGAGTGGCCCAGTTGTCTAAGGCGCCGCGATTCGCTGTGCAGAGTTGCGTGCCTTGGGCACGCCAGAAATCTATGTAGGTTCGAATCCCGGTTCGCCCTGCTTATGTTTCTAGGTTTGTCAGTACCATACCCGTGCTCGTGGGTTTCACCGAAGTGGTAAACGTCTGAGACCTGCATCACTTTGGGCTTTCCTCCCACATTAAGTTGACACGCCGCGATATAACTGGAATACTGTTAAAAGCGGTTGAATCCAACTCACTCACTCACTCACTCACTCCAAAGGGATAACCCCCGAACCATGAAAAAGCTACGCACCTTTGAAAGTCTCTTTCAGGACTGAGGCCATGTGCCTCTGCTGCTGGAGGCTACAATGGTTCTCTAAGGACAGGATCACGGGGAATCTGGGGCGAATAAATACAAAGGATGAAAACAATAGACAGTCACGTCTCGATAATGAAAGACCAGGTCAAATGACAGTCTATTTGACTCAAGTCATTAAAAAAGTAAAAACGACAAACCCCTTGCATCATTTCAGCGTCCATTGTGAGCTATATACCGACTACACTGCCGGCCATATAAAGTATACACCCAAGTAAATTGTGTCTAAATGGAACAAACAAGAAATGTTTATTTGATGGTAATCGTTTTTATGGTCGTATCATGGTCGTCTTTTGTACCCGAAATTTGCAATGCTTATTGTTTTCAGCCTAATAACGTTTTAATGACGTTTGTAACTTTTTAAAACAAATAAATAAATGCTTCAATCGCTTTGCAAATGCACAAACTCAATTCGGTCCAAACACACCTGTGTAAAAACTATAACCTATATTTGTCGTTCAGGGTGACTTAATGGATCGAGTAGTCAGACTCGGTGATTTGTTCGATTGTATCGATCACAGTGATGGTGATATCTGCCAAACAACTGTGGATAATGAAATAGTTAATAAAGAATATATGTTATCTTCTTACTCAGAGGTTTGCCACGCGTTGGCCTGGATCGTCTTGACGACGTCATCAAATTTGACGCTGCTAGTCAACGTCTTGCCGTGTCTGATGATTGGGATACCGTCTGTTCCGTCCCAGCAGTCCACTGGCGAAGAAACGTCAGAGACGAATAAGACAGAGACTATCCGCTAGTTACACGTATCACTGGATTCGGTGAAAATACAGAGTGAGTGAGGATGGTTTCACTTTAAAAAGCTATTTCTGTTATATCACGTCGTGTCACCGCGTTTGGCGAAAAACCTAAATGGGTGGAGTCGTTTCAATCACTGGTAAAATATTCTCAAACCAAGAGTCATAACTGGGTTTTGAATTTAGTATTTGAATCTATAATCATCGGATCCTGGTACGGTTAAGGGGCGCAACTCTGTACGGTGCATTACCACGACCTTGACGACTGGACCTCAGTGTCCCCATTAAACAGATGGACGAGTGATATATGTAATAGAACCATTTAGTGAAATATTTTTGTCGGGATACTTGATCAAAACCAGTTTAGGATAAGAGAACCTACACTCCACACATCGACATCCCATCCGTAGAGCCCTGGCGTACGCTTCCACAGAAGAATCGCTGCTCACCTGATTGCCGGTCAAGTACCTGCAACATTACAATACGGTAAGCACACAGCTGTGATAAAGACTGATATATTGTTATAGTGAGTGAGTGACTGAGTGAGTGAGTTGGGTTTAAAGCCGCTTTTAACAGTATTCCAGTTATATCCCGGCGTGTCAGCTTAATGTGGGAGGAAAGCCCGAAGTGATGCAGGACTCAGACGTTTCCCATTTCGGTGAAACCCACGACCATGGGTATGGTACTGACAAACCTAGAAACATAATCGGGGCGAACCAACAATCATAGGTTCCTGGCGTGCTCAAGGGACGCAACTCTGCACAGCGAATCGCGGCGCCTTAGACGACTGGGCCACCCGTGCCCCCACAGCTAGGACTAAGACGGATATATTGTAATAAATAATGAATATTATTCTAATCCGTAAGTAGCGAGAACGACCTATTTTTCTCCTGTGAAAATCACTTTGGATTTTGAAAAAAGAACATCTCTTTCAGTTGGAATCGGACGGTTAAACTTAGTGATTGTTTGTTTGTTTGTTGATCAACACCGCACTCAACCATATTCCAGAATACATGACGGTGATATGTAAAAAAATCTAATCTGGACCAGACAATTTAGTGATCTAGACATCATGAGCATCGATCCACTCAATTGGGATACGATGACATGCATCAACCAAGTCAGCAAACCTGATCACCCGATCCCGTTAGTCGACTCTTACGACAAGCATAGTCGCCTTTTACTGCAAGCATGAGTTGCTGAAGACCAATTCTAACACTGATCTTTAGGCGTTAGTAACTGAGTGAGTTTGGTTAATATTTAAACAATATTTCAGTTATATCACGGCATGTAAGTTAGTGACGCAGGTCGTAGTCGTTGGGTGATACCAATTAGCACGGGTATGGGGCTGTCAAACCTAGAGACATCATCAGGGAGAAACTGGGATTCGACCCTCTTTCAGGTAGAAGAAAATAGACTAGAGTATCCGTTTATCAAACACAGACCCGAAATGATATCAACGGTGCTATGCCACACGATCGTCAATTTGTCTTTCTATTTTAGTATTAACCAAGTTAAAAAGCGTCCAGACAGCGTAGCGTTTCTCTTCCATCTCTAACATGCGTTAGAGAGTAGAAGATGTGGGTTGTCTCCCCTGGACGGGTACTGGTGTCCTTGAACGCCATCAATCCCGACCACGTGCTCGTTTAGCCAACCCAACTAAAGGTCATTGCTGTTAAATAAGGAGGAAACTGGCAATCAAGAAAACGTTGAATGACTTGACTGGATAAAAACTTTTTCAACACCTCAAGAAGACAGAGTGAATATAGTGAATAAAGTTTCACGTCGCTTTTCTGCACTATTCCGGCAATAATACGGCGGTTTCACACACGGAAATGAGTTTCACACATTAAACTCATGAGGGGAATCGAATCCTGGTCTTAGGCGTGACGAGCGAACACTTCAGCCATGAGGCTACCCCCACCGCCCTCAAGAACACAGAATCGGCACAGGAGAAAATAACGTAACAATACAAAATGGCGTCACTGACGTGTTATGAGACGAGGCAATCCAGTAGTCACAGAGCGGCTGGGACATGTCCATCCTGATCTGTTCCTGCTCCGGGTTCCATACGCTGTTGTCAGGGGACAGGAGGTAGTCATAGAACTGCAGGGGCAGAAGTTATAAAGTAGTTTTTATTTTTTTACATAAACTTGTATTGATTCCAGACTACTACAGTATGCAGTCAGTTACTACAGTATTCAGTCAAGAACTACAGTGTTCAGTCACGTACTACTGTAACAGTATACAGTCAGGTACTGCAGTATTCAGTCAAGAACTATAATGTTCAGTCACGTACTACAGTATTCAGTCAGGTACTGAAGTATTCAGTCAAGTACTACAATGTTCAATCATGTACTAACAGTATTCAGTCAAGTACCACAACATCCAGTAAAGTACTACAGTATTCAGTCAAGTACTACAGTATTCAGTCAAGTACTACAGTATTAAGGTAAAGTACTATAGTATTCAGTCAAGTACTACAGTTTTCAGTCAAGCACTACATCATTCAGTCAAGTACTGCAGTATCCAGTCAAGTACTACAGTATTTTGTCAAGTAGTACAGCATTCAGTCAAGTACTACAGTATTCAGTCAAGCACTATATCATTCAGTCAAGTACTGCAGTTTTCAGTCAAGTACTACAGTATTCAGTCAAGACACATTTCAAATTGCAATAGCATGACACACTAAAGATGACAAATGAAAAGGTTTTGAAACAAACAGTTTTCATATTTCAAAATTAAACATTTGTAACACACAATCACACATGGGTGTGTGTCGTAGCGATTTTTCAAAACCTCAAAAATATGTGTCAGGTACTGAGATCGTATCCCGTTAGTAGCCAGGTTTTTTATTCAGCCCCAGGTCTTTACACTGTTGTCACTGAACATTCACCCTGTGCACTAAAAAAAACCCAATCATCCGTTGGTGAACGGCCAGATGGTGGAAACACGTATACGTCCATACACCCGAAACACTGGCAATGGGTACCCGATATGTGGGATGTATGCTCCTAGCGCCATTAGGCAGCATGGGTTGTATACTCCTAAGGGAGTTGAGAATGATAGCTTGAATTCATTCGAATCAGTTAAATAAGTAGTATGTTCACGTGACTGAAGATTTCTATGTTATCCCCTCTTTATAGTGTAGCTTCAGTGAAGAAGTGAGGGGAAATTGGGCAAAGCGGCAGGGTAACAACAAGTACCATATGTTAATGTCTTTTGTAATAATGCGGCCGGGATCGAACCAGACCTTTCGCACTCCGGGCAGTCCATTTATCCACTAGAACGCAGTTCTAACACTTGTTCTAACACGTAATATATAGTGGGAGTGCGTAGTGCTGATTTTTCCAAACGAATGTTAGAAATATATGAATTCCGACACGAGATTCGTTAGACAAAAAAAACCATAACGTTGTTGTAGGGGAGATGTTCTGTGTTCTTTATTTCTCCGTGGGACCCGTGAAGATCCGGTAAGAACAGCTTTTCGGCAACCCATACAAGAGGCGACCATGCTTGTCGTAAGAGGCGGTCAGGTGGTCAGGCTCGCGGAAGTGGTTAATGCATGTCATCGTATCCCAGTTGCGTGGATCGATGCTCATGTCAATTGTCTTGCCTAGACTCGATTAGTTACAGACCACCGTCATATGAATGGAATATTGCAGAGTGCGTCGTTAAACAACAAACAAACAAAACGTCTCCGTGGTCTGGTGGTAGAATGTCTGTCCTGGGAGCGGAATATCGGGGTTCGATCCCCGACCGAAATATAATAAAAATGATACTTGTTGTTACCCTGCCTGGCGTTCGGGGGATAAGAGAAGAGTCGTGGGCTTGGAGTTGGGTATCCATGCTAAACTACGACATGGTATCTTTGTCGGCTAGCACCGACTAAGCGAGGCTTACAGTGTTAACGTCGACATACGGTCAACCATGGGAACATGCGTCACTAGTGGGGGGACGTCTGTATTACATTTTAATTCAAAACGAAGTCGTTGATAAACATGAGGGAGTGATAGCTGACAAACCTCTTTCTCTGTGAAGTGCATTGACCCAAGCGTCCCTCTCATTTGATCATCGACAAAATGTTTGATCATCAGTTTGGCTGTTTCTGCTGAAAACGTTTCCTACAAGGAAACAACATGGCCATCAGAACATGTGACAATAGGTAAGACAGCACAGCGTCAGTTGATCATTTTGGGCCTGAGGATCTTTGGGTTTGAACTGTCTGTAAAATTCAAGCTTCCACCCTTGCCGAATTAGGCTGGAATAATGGAGTTATAGTGTGGCTGGATAAACGAGTCTATGCATAGTCCAATCAAAATCGCGTAACGAAATCAACATCCGGTTCGTAAACTGTCGGTCAATTGCAAGTATTGCAATGCATGAGTACCGTCAACTTAACGTCAACAGGTATTTTACAAATCTTTTCATGTTTTTAATCATGCTCGTGTGATTTGACGCACCTCGCTAAGTAAGACCCGTTTTATTACAATATAGATCTTAATTAGCGATCAGATCGTTTTCACCGTGCGCCGCCATTTTGTTTGAAACAAATACAAGTGATATGAGGGGTGGAATCTGATTGGACAGAAGGAGGGACAAAGAAGGGACATAACTTGTAATAATCACTGGTGGCGCTACGATAGAGCCCAGAAACTCCAGCCTAGTTCGGCAAGGGTGGAAACTGGTCTTTTACTGTCAGTAAACTCCTCGGGAAAATGGGTGGAACTAGTACCTACTACCGTATGCAAGCAGTAAGGGTTGTCTGCAACGGATCAGGAGGCCAGAGTGAGTGACGTGGCTGTATTCCGTTCATTGTGACCCGAAGCGTAGATTGTTGCTCACGCTTTCAATCACTGGTATGTCGGGTCTACGCTTGACTGTTTTTTACAAATCGCGGTGATGAAGCTGGAATACAGCTATCACCCACTCATTCAGATCATATTGTGATTATATATATATACCACAATGATAACAATGATGATATCAAATTGAAGCGAAAGATTCACATATATTTACATATATCACCCTACATTCTTGCCGTCATCTGAAACGATCACAATTAAAATATTAACATACGTTTTGTTCTGTCTGAAGAAAATCGACGAAACGGTCAGGAGTCATTAGCCTGGAAATAAAAATAGCTTATTGGTCATTTGAATTTAAATACACCTGTCCAGTTAATCGGCAAAATGGGGAAAAGTGCAAGCCAAAAAGCACATTGCATTTTCTAGAAAACACAATATCATTTTTATGGCAGGCATTGTTTTCAACAATTTGAAACCATAATTATGATTATTTTTCACGCATTTTCGGGGATAAATTAGTTTCGATAAAATTCACTGAAAGTAGGCATCGCAACGGAGCCCATATTTCAAAAGACTGCTATTGTAAATACCTTTCGCCTGACTTCCCGCTTAAGTACTGGTTAAAATGTTTGGTAATTATCTGAAAACAAGGAAATATGTGTTAATCTATATCTAATAAAATCATTTACTTTGAAAGACTTTGAAAGATTTTTTAACGAAATTATAATCATATCATTAATGACAATTGATTATTATCACAGCGTGCGTTTCATCAAATTACTCACAATAATATTATCAAATAACATATAATTGTACAATATTAATACATATTTCATATTGCAACATTTCTAAATATAATACATTGCAAAATATTAACAATTAAACCATTATGATTACGTCACGATATTGTTCAATAATAATATAAACCTTTCTGTGCAATATTAATACATAACTTACATCATCAGAGTGAACGAGTTCTTCAAATAACATGTAAAATTCTTGGAAAACCATTTTTTCTTTGAGCTTGAGTTGCTGAAAACAAAAGAACAATAATAAAATGAAATTCCTTTCTGCACAAGACAGTGGATCGATGTTCATGATGTCAATCCCTGGATTGTCAGGTCCAGACTCGATTACTTACAGACCGCCGTCATATAGCTGGAATATCGCTGAGTGTGGCGTTAAAGAACAACAACATTCGCAAAGAAACCAAGCTGAAGGTTGTTTGACCTGTTTGCCGCACTCAGCAATATCCCAGATATTATAGAGCGAAGGGCTGGGACGAGTCCAAATTTTCTACCCGGGAACCCAACCCCCTATTACCCGACCCTACCCGGGTACCCGTCTCAAGAGATAGGTACAAAATGTCCGATTAGGAAACGTTTGACCGTAGTCCTGTCAAAATGTATTAAGAGCAATCTGGTCATGCATACACTAAAGTTGACTGAAGTTTTATCTTTATGCAAAACTATAAAGTCAGAGAAGGAATCTATTTGTTTGTTTGTTTGTTTGTTTGTTGTTTAACGCCGCACTCAGAAATATTCCAGCTGATTAATCGAGTCTGGACCAGACAATCCAGTGATTGACAACATGAGCATCGACCCACGCAATTGGGATCGATGACATGCATCAACCTAGTCAGCGAGCCTGACCACCCGACCCCGTTAGTCGCAAGTAACTAACGACGGATCCGGGTAGTCCTGTGGGTCCCCGGGTCGTACTCAGCATCCACCCGACCCGAGTACCCGGGTTACCCCCCAGCCCTGTGAGAGCGGTCTGTAAATAATCGAGTCTGGACTAGACAATCCAGTGACCTCATGCGCATCGATCTACCCAACTGCATCACCCAATCAGTGATTCTGACCACCCTATCAGTTTAGTTGCCTGTTACGACAAGCATTGGTGACAAATAATGCATGGAGGTACAAATTATAGCAACTAGCGCAGAAAAGATGGATATCAGGATATCAACTTTGGAATTGGTGAGGGTATGTTACAATTCCAAGTCTACAATACCATATCCTAAAGTATTCCGGGTTAGAATTGGTCTTCAGCAACTCTGCTTGTGGATAGAGGCGACTAACGGGATCGGATAGTCAGGCTCGGTAACTTGGTTGATGTAATCGTATCTTGATTGCGTTGGTCTATGTGCATGATGTCAATCACTGGATTAGTTCAGACTCGATTATTCACAGACCGCCGTTATATAGCCGGAATATTGCTGAGTGCGGCGTTGAACTACAAATAAATGCTAAACAAATGGTGATGCATGTGTTGGTGTGGGGAACATTGTAAGGGAGATAACTAGATAGCAAGGTGAATAACCGAAAGAGTAAGGGGTAAAATCCCTATAAATTAGGACTCTTCTTTCCTGCAAACCCGACCGCCTCCGTGGTCTAGTGGTAGAAAGGAAGGTCCGGGGTTCGATCCCCGGCCGCGTCATACCAAAAGACGTTAAAAGATGGTACTTGTTGTTATCCTGTCTGGCGCTCGGCATTAAGGGGCTTAAACAAGGACTGGTCGGCTCGGAGTCAGTATACTGTGTCTGAGTGGGGTATTCATGTTAAACTGCGGCATGGTATCTCAGTGGGCTAGCACTATAAATCGGCATCAGTCCGGACTAGTACAAGCAGCCACACAAACACACACACGTACATGCACGTCGCTATATAGGTGCAATAATCTTGGACGTTAAACCCCATTTCACCTCACACCTTCTGCAAACCCTGTTTAGATTCCACGTTAGAATTGGTACCCAGCAACCTATGCGTGTCGTACGAAGCGTCTTAATGGATCGTGTGGCATGTACGAAGTGGAGGTTTGCTCAGAATATCAACCATGGTTAAGTCCGTTCCAAACATTTTACTCAATCCATTGCAATCAGATGCCACTGAAAGCAATTCAAATCCTGAATATTCTTGGAAAATATTTCATTTAGAGTTAATCAGTGAGTTTTGTTTTAATTTCCCTTTAAACAATATTTCAGATCTATCCCGGCGTGTCAGCTTGGGTTGGTGAGTGAGTGCGTTATGGTATAGCACCGTTTCAGTGAGTGAGTGAGTGAGTGAGTGAGTGAGTGAGTGAGTGAGTGAGTGAGTGAGTGAGTGAGTGAGTGAGTGAGTGAGTGAGTGAGTGAGTGAGTGAGTGAGTGGGTGGGTGGGTGGGTGGGTGGGTGGGTGGGTGGGTGAGTGAGTGAGTGAGTGAGTGAGTGAGTGAGTGAATTTGGTATAAAGCCGCTTCTAACAGTATTCCAGTTATATCGCGGCATGTCAGCTTAATGTGGGAGGAAACCCCGAAGTGATGCAGGTCTCAGACGTTTACCACTTCGGTGAAACCCACGAGCCCGAGTATGATGCTGACAAACCTAGAAACATAATCGGGGTGAACCGGGATTCGAACCCACAATCATAGGTTTCTGACGCAACTCTGCACAGCGAATCGCGGCGCCTTAGACGACTGGGCCACCCGTGCCCCCAGCGCCGCTTTAAAAAGTATTTCAATTTTAGAATACGGGAGCGAGTGAGTGCGTTTTGCTTTAAAGGGGCTTTGCAAATTATGTCAGTTATAGAATTGGTGAGTAAATTGTGTTTCAGTTACATCACGACGTGTCAGCTTCATGTCATCTTCCCGAGGCAAGAGAGTTAACTGACTATAAAAGTCCAGTTTCCACCCTTGCCGAACTAGGCTGGTATTATGGAGTTACAGTCTGGCTGGACTAACGAGTCTGTGCATAGTCCAATCAACATCGCGCACCGAAATCGAAATCCGGTTCGTAAAATGTCGTGCAGATTTCTGTCGATTGCAGGATTTGCAAAGCATGTGCACCGCCAACTCGTTGTCAACGGATATTTTCCAAGTCGTTTCATGTTTTTAATCAAGGAGCTCACGTGATTTGATGCACTTCGCTTTGTGAGACCCGTTTTATCACAATATAGATCTTGATTGTCGATCAGATCGTTTTGATTGGGCGCCGCCATATGGTTTGAAGCTAATGCAAGTGATACGAGAGGTGGAATCTGATTGGTCCATATGAGAGGCTTAGAAGGAACATAACTCGTAATAACAACTGGTGGCGCTACGGTCGAGACCAGGAATTCCAACCTAGTTCGGCAAGGGTGGAAACTGGACTTGTAAAGTCAGTTAACTCCCTTGCCTCGAGAAGATGGCTTTATGTGTGAGGAAAACACTATAAACGTTAACTAATTTGTTGAGACATTGGTTTGAAACAGCCAGTCATAATCAGATCACACCCTGAACCTGATTCAAACCCGCGTTTACCGGATCCTTGCACTGCTAAGCGAGGCAACTCTCCCACTCCATTTTGGTCAGTAAATATGTGATGCTTTCAATGCCATCGTCATTATCTTGTAAAATTCACTGACTAGCGTACTTTATGCAGCCCACACTAAATACAATACAACATGTGTATGTCGAGTGTTAGATCAACCGTTGTCATATCACATTACAGATCGTCCTGTGAGAAGATATTACATGCATAATGTGATCAAGGAACTTTATCCACGCGATTAACTTGAATTGATTGTACATATTGTACCTTGAGCAGTCTTTTAGCTTCCTTATTTTTCAGCTTGTAGTTCATCTTAGCCAACCAGGACTTTAGGTCGCGTAGAGTTTTGATGCTGAAAATAACAAATGTTGTTAAAGATTTCTGAAAATAAGAAATAAAAATAAATTTCAAAGTTTTATGATATTCGTAGCTATAATAAGAATGTGACATATCTTTGTCACTTAACTATTGCTTTTTTATACTTTCTTCATGCACTTCAAAAGTTCTTTTGAATACACTATTTACATGCATCAATTTATGTTAATAGGTAGCTTGTCCATTGGCGCCAAACACTTGAAATTACACTATACGATATGAAGTGATCTTTAAACTGTCTACTTACTAGAACTGTTTTTCTAATCGGTCCGTGCCATAGGCTCTCGCTTCGTTTTTCTGAATCTTGTAAAATTCCTTCCACAGCCATCTAAATAATAATAATAATAATATTAATAATAATATTAATAATAATAATAATTCTCAGTAATGTATTCTCTGTGAGAAAATAAGAACATCTCTCATTCGACATTGTTCTTGTATATACGGGCATATGATGACTGGAGCAGGCTCATTTTACCCCCCTCTGTTTCTAGTAGTCATAACGGGAATAGTCATAATGAGAGTGAAACGTTGGACCTATTCTTTCCCGGAAACGGCCGGAATCCCGGAGTCCTTCACTTTAGAGACAAGTGAAATGTAATATTCTGACACACATACATACACGGACAGACAGAGGCCACCCCATGCAACGCCGTTCACTCACTCCACCACTCAACCACCCACCTCTTACTCTCAATCAACCGCTCAATCACTCAATCACTCAATCACCCAACCACTCAATCACTCAACCACTCAATCAATCAACAACACAATCAATCATGCGCTCAATCAAGCGTACAATCAATCAATCAATCAATCAATCAAGGAATCAATCAATCAATCACGCGCACAATCAAACAATCCCGCGCTCAATCAATCACACACTCTATCAATCAATCAAGCACTCAATCAATCAATCAAGCACTCACTCAATCAATTATTACAATTAATCAATCAATTACATACGCATGTATTAGTGCGTTACCTTTCCTTCTGTATTTGGTATGAGGCGACCTTGGTTTCACTGACGAGTTGTGTCATGCCCTCCATCAAGGCAGGGAAATCATTGGGGTCGAGTGCTTGAAACATACAGGAACATGTTTAAAAAGACATTCCTTCGAACACGGATGGGCAATACAGTCACTAGATGTTTTATCAAATACTCACAGTGAGTCGGTTATATAAGGAAACTTAGTAAGAAATTAGGCATGTCGATATGTAATCAGTTTCCAGGTGAAACTTTTGGACCGTTCATAAATTGTCCCAGAAAATAATTATGCTTCAGACGTTTGAAACAAAATCTGTCTCCCACCAAAATCACATTGTTGCAATGTGTTTGACCAAAAAAAGATTTAGGCTCATAGATTTAATACAAAAATATCTGGTTTTGCAGCTCAAGCTGAAAATAATATCTAGCCTCCATAATTATTTATGCTTAGGCTCGTGCGTATCGAATGGTTTGTTTACTCGTTACAGTCAGCGATGTTTCAGCTACACGACGGCGATCTGTAATTTATATAGTCAGGGATAGGCAAACAAGTGACAGAAATCAGTTTAAAAGTCATCATAGAATATTTACACCCTACTCCGATCTGTCGTGTCGTATTTCAATGACGAAACCAATGCAATCGCCCGTTACAAAGTCATACGGTATCAGTGTCAATTTGACTTTGCATTCGCTACACTGAACCCTATCCCTGCCGTCTGTATTGCACGGGATTAGTCGCGACACTCTTTGGTCGTGTCAAAGATAGGGAATTGGTGTCAAAGATAGGAATGGGTGTCAAAGATAGGGATGGTGTCAAAGATAGGAATGGGTGTCAAAAATAGGGATGGTGTCAAAGATAGGAATTTGTGTCAAAGGTAGGGATGAGTGTCAAAGATAGGAATGGGTGTCCAAGATAGGGATGTTGTCAAAGATAGGAATGTGTGTCAAAGGTAGGGATGAGTGTCAAAGATAGGAATGTGGGTCAAAGGTAGGGATGAGTGTCAAAGATAAGAATGGGTGTCCAAGATAGGAATGGGTGTCAAATATAGGAATAGGTGTCAAAGATAGGGATAGTGTCAAATATAGGAATAGGTGTCAAAGATAGGAATGGGTGTCAAAGATAGGAATAGGTGTCAAAGCTAGGGATGGGTGTCAGAGATAGGAATGGGTGTCAAAGATAGGAATGGGTGTCAAAGACACGAATGGGTGTCAAAGATAGGGATGGGTGTCAAAGATAGGGATGGGTGTCAAAGGTAGGAATGAGTGTCAAAGATAGGAATTGGTGTCAAAGATGGGAATGGGTGTCAAAAATAGGGATTGTGTCAAAGATAGGAATGTGTGTCAAAGGTAGGGATGAGTGTCAAAGATAGGAATGTGGGTCAAAGGTAGGGATGAGTGTCAAAGATAGGAATGTTGGTCAAAGGTAGGGATGAGTGTCAAAGATAGGAATGGGTGTCAAAGATAGGGATGGTGTCAAAGATAGGAATGGGTGTCAAAGATAGGGATGGTGTCAAAGATAGGAATAGGTGTCAAAGATAGGAATGGGTGTCAAAGATAGGAATGGGTGTCAAAGATAGGGATGGTGTCAAAGATAGGAATGGGTTTCAAAGATAGGAATGGGTGCCAAAGATAGGAATTGGTGTCAAAGATAGGAATGGGTGTCAAAGACACGAATGGTTGTCAAAGATAGGGACGGGTGTCAAAGATAGGGATGGGTGTCAGCGTAGGAATGAGTGTCAAAGATAGGAATTGGTGTCAAAGATAGGAATGGGTGTCAAAAATAGGGATTGTTTCAAAGATAGGAGTGTGTGTCAAAGGTAGGGATGAGTGTCAAAGATAGGAATGGGTGTCAAAAATAGGGATGGTGTCAAAGATAGGAATGTGTGTCAAAGTTAGGGATGAGTGTCAAAGATAGGAATGGATGTCAAAGGTAGGGATGGTGTCAAAGATAGGAATGGGTGTCAAAGATAGGAATGGTTGTCAGAGATAGGAATGGGTGTCAAAGGTAGGGATTGGTGTCACAGATAGGAATGGGTGTCAAAGATAGGAATGGGTGTCAAAGACACGAATGGGTGTCAAATATAGGGATGGGTGTCAAAGATAGGGATGGGTGTCAAAGTCGGGAATGAGTGTCAAAGATAGGAATTGGTGTCAAAGATAGGAATGGGTATCAAAGATAAGGATGGGTGTCCAAGATAGGAATTGATGTCAAAGATAGGAATGGGTGTCAAAAATAGGGATTGTGTCAAAGATAGGAATGTGTTTCAAAGGTAGGGATGAGTGTCAAAGATAGGAATGGGTGTCAAAGATAGGGATGGTGTCGAAGAAAGGGATGGTGTCAAAGTTAGGAATGTGTGTCAAAGATAGGGATGGTGTCAAAGATAGGAATGGGTGTCAAAGATAGGAATGGGTGTCAAAGATAGGGATGGTGTCAAAGATAGGAATATGTGTCAAAGATAGGAATGGGTGTCAAAGATAGGGATGGTGTCAAAGATAGGAATAGGTGTCAAAGATAGGAATGGGTGTCAGAGATAGGAATGGGTGTCAAAGGTAGGGATGGGTGTCACGGATAGGAATGGGTGTCAAAGATAGGAATGGGTGTCAAAGACACGAATGGGTGTCAAATATAGGGGTGAATGTCAAAGGTAGGAATGAGTGTCAAAGATAGGAATTGGTGTCAAAGATAGGAATGGGTGTCAAAGATAGAAATGGTTGTCAAAGATAGGAATTGGTGTCAAAGATAGGAATGGGTGTCAAAGATAGGAATGGGTGTCAAAGATAGAGATGGATGTCAAAGATAGGGATGGGTGTCAAAGATAGGGATGGGTGTTGTGCAGCATAAGGTCAAATAGCAAAACATCATACATTGTTCATAAAACAACGAACGATCCCTGTATAGAAACATAGGACTTCGTAAGAAGCCCCTAAAGGAATTCACGGACTTTTCTTTGGTTCAACAAACTCAAAGAACTCTCTATCTGTTAGCTTTAAATTAAGAGCATATTACATGCCTCAAAACATAATAAATGCTTAAGTGAGAGAAAAATATTATTGATATCTGGTCGCTGGCTACTTACCCACTATAGACAAACAGGAAAGATTGAACTCGAGGCCGTGAAAGATCGCCATGGCCATCCCAGGGTCATACTTAGCGGTCTCGTCTGGCCAGCGTTCGAAGTCCGGGCTGTTGAGACCTGGTCGCACTTCCTTTACAAATGGTAGGTATACTGAAACACATGTGGGTAGTAAGTAAATGGGTTTCACGGCACTGTGAATGATATTTACATTAAATGGTACATGTTTTGAAACTTTTATCATTGGAAACATGTAGAGAACATTTCCAAATTTGACGTATCAATGACAAAAATGATGTCCGATGCAATTCCTTATTTTGACTTGTACCACATGTTCCCTTGTTATTTTCAGGTGAACACTTGACTTGCCTTTGCATGTGTTTGTGATTGGTGCCACCGGTGGGGCAGGAATCGCTCACCTTTTCGCGAACACCTGGTATCATCACTATTTGATAGTGATTCATAAAAACATGCTCATGAAAAAGTCGATACAGTCGATACAGTCGACGTTGCTTAATGCCGAGATTTCTAGTGGATATGGAAAGCGTTTTGTTGCTTTGTTTACACCTTGAAGGCCACGAGAAAGAGTTGTGGTGCTAATAATCTAAGGATCGTTCTGGCGAATCTAAGATTCGAATGATATGATCCTGAAACGCCTAAGGGTCGACGCAACTCTGTCCTTTTTTTATCACAGGGAGCGGCGTGTGATAACCCGCCTTATCAACTGTAGTGTTCGTGTTGAGTACTGGGGCACTTTATCTATCATCGAGTGAGTGAGTGAGTATGATTTAACGCCGCTTTTAGCAATATTCCACCAGGGACACCAGAAATGGGCTTCACACATTGTACCAATGTCGGGAATCGAACCCGGGTCTTCTGCGTGACGAGCGAACGCTTTAACCACTAGGCTACCCGACCGCCCCTTATCTATCATCGAAGGACCTTAGTTAAAAACAAACTTCAATTTGTATAGTTGTAAAACCTTTGTCAATAGCATTAAGGCTGCTTGTATGTTTGCCGCACACACTAATATTCAAGCTATGTAAATGCGGTGTGTAAATTATCGAGTAAAACTAGTGTCTGATATTATGAGCAACGACAAACGCCGTCGGGGAATGATTACATCCAATCAACCAAGTCCACAAGCGATCCATTAAAAAACCTCGCACGACTAGCATATTAGGTTGTATTCGGGACCCGTGAAGATCCAGGGTAGAATAGGTCTTCAGCAACCCATGCTTGCCGTGAAAGGCGACTATGCTTGTCGTAAGAGGCGACAAAGAGGATCGGATGGTCAGGCTTGGTTGATGCATATCATCGTATCCCAATTGATGCATATCATCGTATCCCAATTACGAGGACCGATGCTCATGATGTCAATCACTGGATTGTCTGGTCCAGACTCGATTATTTACCGACCGCAGTCATATAACTGGAATTCTGTTGAGTGCGGCGTTAAACAACAAACAAAGCAAACAAACATGTATTCGAACCCGGAATCTACATGGGGTTAAGGGGTAATCTGACGACACCTTTGTAAGATGAGGATGAGTGGTCACCACTGACTCACTCTTGACCCTCAAAATGGTTCGAAACGTCGTGGCATGACTCAAACATGACATAACTTGACCTAAGTAACCCAACACCTTGGATTATCACGTGAATACCTTTTTCGCGAACACCTGGTGTCATCACTGATTTTCAGTGATCCATTCATATTATTTTCACCGCTATTTCGCCTTTTACACGCAATGGAATCTATTTCGAGAATCGAGAGTGGTTGTTTTTTCACGTTGAAAATTATTATATCTTAATTCTATGATCATCACAGAAACAACTTGCTTTGAATTTCTCTCGCTCAGTGCAATTAGATTGGAGTTGTGATTGCAGCAAGTGTCATTCGAATTGGACTCAAAACGAAGCTATTGCAGCGAAGGAGTCCAGGGTATGTATTACAAAAGAATGGCGATATAGTACCCTGGATTAGGGAAGATGGGAAGGAGCCGAACAATTTGATGATTTCTTCAGTATCTGTCGTCGGGATGGTCAACGCTCGATGCACTTCCCACACTACTGGGCGGTGGGGTAGCCTCGTGGTTAAAGCGTTTCCCTACATATTATAATGTCTGAAGTCTATTTATGGTGTCCCGCGCCTTGATGTTGTTGTAATATTGCTAGAAGTGGCTTAAAACCCAATTCATTCACTCTCTACCACACTACACAGTTATAATTATGAGCGCATGACCATGCTGTTCATGAAGTTGCACGACCTGCATTCGATATGTTACACTTATTCCACCTTAAAACGCACAAGAGGTGTGAAAATATGTACAGTGTCTGTTTAATGTCCCCCAGACGCAGGGTTGCAACTATATTAATACAATGTGCTGTTCACGTACCTTCATACGTTATATATGTCTGCTAAAGTGTTTGCAAAACGAGTAAATATTTAATTTTAAAACACGTAAACGCCAGATAATTTAATTATCAGTCTCCATTGTCTGCCGAAAGAGATTCTATTGGACGTAAAGGCAATCTAACCGTTAAAATATCATAAGAAACAATACAATTCCACAATTTGTGGTTATGATACAACAAATCATTTGAGTTAATATTGCATAACGGGAACGGGTGGCCCAGTCGTCTAAGAGGACGTAATTCGCTGAGTTGTGTCCCTTGAGCACGCCAGAAACCTATGATTGTGGGTTCAAATCCCAGGTGCGCCCGGATTATGTTTCTAGGTTTGTCAGTACCATACAACCCTGTCATAAGTCAGTGGAAATTCAGCTGTGGTCCGTAAACATTACAAAACTCAAGACATTTATTATTCACAAATCGTTCAGAACTTATACCTTAAATCAGCAACCCATGCTTGCCGTAAAAGACGACTATGCTTGTCGTAAAAGGCGACTAACGGAATCGGGTGGTCAGGCTCACTGACTTGGTTGATGCATGTCATCGTATCCCAGTTACGTTGATCGATGCTCATGATGTCAATCACTGGATTGTCTGGCCCAGACTCGATTATTTACAGACCGCCGCAATATAGCTGGAATACTGCTGACTGCGGCGTAAGTCTAAAATAACATGTTTATAAGATCTATTTACATGTTGGAAGTTTCAGTTTCAAGGACAATGTGTACAATGGGGCCAAGGTCATCTATTTTGATGTCTTCCAGCAGTTGTTTCCTCTTAAAACTGTGAAGGGCTCCCCCAAAAAAATTTAGAAAATGTCTCAATCATAATTTATCACACCCTTGTCTGGAGTATTTTGCATTCATACAATACGTTAATAAATCTTGTATATAGGTCGTCGGCAGGGTTACTGCACACCACCATGCCTGTTAAAAATTTGCTGAGTTATAGTCGGTCACAACCGAAACATGTCGTGCCATATGACTAGCAATAACTCAATAGTGTTTGCATTATATATGAGCATGTATGGGCATGCGTGCAGGGTTCTTTGCAGATAACATGTGAAAACGTGTTCAGAACATGATTGAGTTAGAGCTACGACCCATTATGGATTTTTTGTACAGGGCGGATGAATAGTGTAGCCCCTGGGCTAGTCCTGCACCATGACCGTGGAATATATTTATTTTATGAAAAAATAATAATCTAGAAATGCATACAAAAGCAAGTCTAGCCATCTCAAGCTAGCTCTATTCCACAAATCAGCATAGAGAATTGTTTTTATTTTTAGAGTCAAGAAGGATATTGTGTAATATAAGATTTCAGAGACTAAATGTTAGTCTACCCCTGGGCCTTTAACGAGAGACTTACAGCGTTTATCCATAAGGAACAAATAAGCCGCGTTTCGAATAGGTTGTTCTTTAAATTACTCAGTGTCATTTCAAAACAGAAAAGTTAACGAAGAGAAAGATATGAAAAGTGAATTTGTTTCACAGATGTCAGATGACGTACTCTTATTAATTTGTGACGTCATGAACAATGGATGACGTCATTTCGTAATGTCCTTAAGAATGAAGCAATGTTGCTGTATCGTTTCAGCTGACTAAGCAGTATCGAGAATCATTTGGTTTCTCTCCCTATCCACATCCTCAACGAAATTATCAACATACCACACTCAAAACTCTACAAAAACTCCTATCGACGCACAACGCACAGACACACACGCAAACACTCAACCCTCACAACCACTCCCACCAATTCAAACACACACACACACACACACACACACACACACACACACACACACACACACACACACACACACACACACACACACACACACATACAACCCTCACTACTTCCCAATCCACCCCAACACACACACACACAAACACACAAACACATACGCACGCACGCACATACCCACACAACCCTCACTTCTACCCAAACCAACACCAACATACACTCACACAACCGTCACTACTTCCCCAATCCCCGTGCACCCTCTCTCTCTCTCTCTCTCTCTCTCTCTCTCTCTCTCTCTCTCTCTCTCCCTCTCTCTCTCTCTCTCTCACACACACACACACACACGCACACACATACACACACACACAAACACAAACACACACAAACACAATGCGTATTAAACTATCAAACAAAACAACATTAACATTGAAAACACAACAAATCTATTCTCCCTTATTCATAATAATTGCGCAAGAATCTCACACCTGGGTCAATGTTTATTCATCCAGGCAAAAGCACACACCACATTGAAGCATCGTTTTTCGCAATGTGCATTTACTATAGCACCTAACAATGATATCACATTTACCGACTACAGATCTAAAGGTAGCAATGGGTTTATTGAACGCGTCAATGGGCCCAGGACTGAAATGCACCCCAACACCCACCCCGGTTTTCCAACACCGTCACCCGGACAGTAGAGACACATACCTAACCAGAACATGATACCCGCCTTCATAGAATGCGGTTTGTTCTTGAGAACTTCGACAACAAAGCCAAATCATAACGATCGTATCAAATGCATCCCTAATGGGGCCTTACACAGGATAGCGACCTTTGTACCTCCCGTGTGCGACCATAGAATTTGCCAGGTCGTCGTTGGAGGCCCAAAGGAGGCAAAATGGTTGCCTAGGTCGTTCCAAGGTGGTACACAGGAGGTTCAGACATCGCCATGGAGTGTGGCGATCGCCGTGCCTCCATTCGGCGACCACGGC